AATAAATAATAGTATAAGCTTCTAGTATTTACTCTTCCTTTTTTGGACTAACACATGCATTGTTTTTTGTCGTTTTTCTAAAGCGAGAAAATAATCTACTTCATTTCAAAGGATTTTATTTCACAGTTTTATAGATCGCAGCAGACACAAGGTTAGATCTGACTTAAGGTCCATTAAAACTTGTTTATTTGGACGATTTATTTTGTTAATACCTGTTTTTATATTTTGGGCTAATTGCAAATTTTTTTTTCAATCCAGATTTAGTTTTTTTCTAAACATACGAACCATTTTTCACAGTTTTTATTTTACTTCAAAATGAAATCATGTCGGGTTTCCAAAAGCCCAGAGAAAAGAGTTATGAATGGTCGAACAACGAAGAGAAGACAAGAACGAAAATCACAAGAAAGAATTGCTAGACTTAAACAAATATCAAAACAACGATATACCAATGTTCAAAAAGATTTATTAGAATTATATGAGAATATTTTTGGTGTAGCCGAGAAGTTTAAGTCACCAGCTAGATTAGGTGTAGCCGATACAACTATCGAAAGATCAAGACCTTTAATTCCCCTTACATTTCAGAAACGAGCAGAAAAAGGCATAAATGGCCTAAAAGATCCTACGTATAATTACTCTACACCTATAGCTAGCCCGACACCGTCGTATGTTTCAGTACGGTCAAGCCCGACACCTTCATATGTTTCAACACACAACTACTCCCTATCGCCAAGACTTAGTTCAGCTTCTTCGATTGAGTTTACAAAAGAGCTACCTCCACCTCCACAATTGGTGAAGACATGTATACAACAATCTTGTTATACCTATTATAATACGAAGACATTTGAACAGATAAATTCACTTGAGCTTCTTGACCCTCAGATATATAATAAACTAAATTCATGGATATGGAATAAGTCGATAGTGAATGTAGAAAGAGTAGTAGAAAAGTCCGAAGACAATCAACGAGTATTAGTGCCACAAGAAACATTATGTTGGTCATATTACAATAGGAGAACAGGTGATCAGCGGAGGTCATTTCAAAGACTTAAAAAAACCGAAGAAGAAGATGAATGGTGTTATAAAACACTAGTATTGCAATATAAAGAGAATCCGGAAGTATTTTCAATTGAAGATGGATCGAGGGAGTTACAAGAAAGTATATCTAAGGAAAGTGAACAAATTATGGAAGAAAATCGAGAATATGCAACTAAAGAAGAAATCCAAGAAGAATTGCGATGTCTCGAAACAGTCGAAGAAATGGGAGTACAAGCCGCGATTAAGCATATAAAAGAAGAAAATAAGAATAACGATAACCTTAAGGCTTATATATGTCGTGAATTATCACTTAAATCGCCGCGTAATGAATCATCACTATATAATGGTAACTTGACAAATAAGAAGAGGTCTGCCACAAGACGTTTACGAGACTGGATTCAATGTGATGGGTATCCCTCATTGACATTAGAACAAGCTGAGAAGCTTGTCGTTATGTTGAATTCAGGTGACAAGATTCTTGTAGAGGGGGATAAGGTTTCAGTGCGTGGAAATGACCTAATTACTCTTAAAAAACGAGGCTGGTTAAATGATGAAGTGATAAACTTTTATGTCGAGCTGATTCTCAAACGCGCCGCTAGAGAACCGGAGAAATACCCGAAAATACATATGTTTAATACTTTTTTCTACCCATTACTGGAGAAAAAAGGATATTCAGGTGTAGCTAGGATTACAAAGAGAGCTAAACTTGATATATTTTCTCTCGACATGGTGATCGTTCCTATACATTTACAAATTCATTGGGCTTTGGCGGTCATCAATATTAAAGAACGCCGATTGGAATATTATGATTCAATGAGTAAAGGATGTAATGAATCAGTGTTGTCATTATTGAAACATTATGTTGAGGAAGAGTACAAGGACAAGAAGAAGGCGCCAAGCTACGATACGAGTGAATGGAAGTACTACAGAGTGAATAATTTACCTCAGCAAACTAACGCGTACGATTGTGGTGTGTTCTCGATGACCTTCGCTGAACACATCAGCAGAGGTGCTTCGGTGCTTTTTACTCCACCGAGGTACATGAAATACTTTCGCTTGAAAATGATGTGGGAAATAATAGATTCAGAGTTGTTGCCTGTTGACCAGCAACTTCAACCTTGTAAAGTCTCAGAACCAGTGAAAAATGGGAGTATAACTAATAATTATGTTAATTATTCAGGCCAAAAAAGAACATTCGAAGACAATTGTATATTAGGTAATTAAGATAATTATACGTTTTTATTCCTATGATTTTTGCGTTTTTGGTGAATTATTAATGAATGGAAGTTAGCTCATGATTAACGTATGATATTATATATATAAAATACCAACTCAGAAAAGTTGAAAATTGAAATAATATTTATAGTATTATTTTTTTTATATTCTCTCTCTATCTATATTAGAAACATTTTAAAATTAAATTTAAGTTTAATTAAAAATTATGATTAGTTTGCACTATGCAAAAACCTTTTTGATTTTATTTATGTAATATATTAACTATATTGGCGAGAGTTTTAAAGGTATGAAAGAAGTTAACGTATTTATTATACATTGGTTTTTTGTTATAAATTAAATATAAATAAAATATAACATTGTGTGGTTATATTATATACTGGTGAAAGCATTTACCAAGATGTTTTCATTAATCAAGAACAATAGTTAGAGTATCGAAGGCGTATCGAAGGCGTATCGAAAGCGATCGGATGAATATATAAATGTCCTAAGTGATATATATGCCTTAAAATATTATTAGACTTGTCGCTGTTTTCATATCATCCTCTAAGTGATATATATGCCTTAAAATATTATTAGACTCGTCGTTGCCTTTATATCATCTATTAAATAATATTTAATATATAGATAGATTAATTTTTTATAATTTATATGATTTCTAAATAAGTATTTACTTAACAATTTGAGCTCTATTATACTTGAATCTAAATCTAATTAAAGGAGAATAATTCGTTATTCTATTAAAATCTAACAGTTTGCTTACATATTTAAAATCAGAATTTCCCGAGTTTCTTTTAAATAATGATTGAACATTTTTTCTTTATCAGCTATGCTAAATTCCACTTTAATTTTATTAGCAGCATCATTACTAGTATTTTCACATACCAATATGATATATTCTTTTCTAAATAACTAATTGGTCTCTTCACAGGATTAACCATCCATGCACTTATAAGTCATAAATTTCGAAAGACCCTTATAGACAAAACATAAGAGCATTCATGCATCCATTTGTTTTAAATTTCCGAATTTTTCGAACTCAAACTACTCTATACACTTGTCATTATTATATGAATTTAATTTTTACTCGTTTCTAAAAAAAATTATCAATTGATTTATTTCCACTTAACTTTTCGGTAAGGTATGGTGGTTTTGATTCATCCGTTATTTTATTATCATCGATTCATTTTGATTTTCTAAAGTGTTTGTGTCAATATCGGTGTTCATTGTTCATAAAAGTAATTTAAGAAAAATATTATGTTTAAAAATTTTTTAATCTATCCTTTTATCAGTAGTAGATCAGTTATTATTTGATATCACGTGATCGATAATTGTATATCTTTGCTTTTCCCGAGTACAAATATTAAATGTAATTATTTTTGTCGCGAGTATTATTATAAATACTACAATAATTATAGCATTTCCGGATCTAAATACTGTCTAATCTATTAGATTTTAAAATTGAATTTTACCCCTTGGATATTTTGTGCTTTTCCTTTGATATTATAATGTTGGCACAACTAATTCCATAAAACCTGGATCAAAAGATCCGATGAGCCCACTCTCAATATTCGAAAACAGTCACCTAGAGCTGTAGGAAATTACCTTCACATTGAAAAACCTTCTCAGAAACGACGAATAAAGATCATACTTCTATAGCTAGATTGACACTGTCGTTTGTTTCAGTACGGACAAGCCATCAAGCACTCTCCGTCGCCAAGACTCGTTCAGATTCATTAGTTGAGTTTATAAAAGAGCTACTTTTAACGTTGATGGAGACGCATGTACGATAAACTTACTATACCTAAAGAAATTTGAACAAATTTATTCATTTGAGCTTCTTGACCCTCAGATATATAATAGATTAAATTCATGGTGTAATAGATCGTAGCGAATGTAGAAAGAGCAGTAAATAAGTCTGAAGATAGTAAACGAGTATTAATGCCACAAGGAGAAAAAGGTGATCAATAGAGGTCATTTCAAAGAGGTGTATCTAAAGAAAATGAAAAAAATAAAAGAAAATCGTAAATATGCAGCTAAGAGATTCAAGTAGAATTACCATATCTTGAAAAAGTCGGGGAAATGAGTATACATGCCACAATTAAACATATAAGAATAATGATAACTTTAAGGCCGTGAATTACTATATAATGATATTGTGTCGTCCGTCACTAGAAGTTTACGAGACTGTGATGGGTATCCCTCATTGATATTAGAGCAAGCTGAGAAGCTTGTCGTTATGTTGATTTGGTGACAAAATTCTTATAGAGGAAGTTGCGTGAAAATGACCCAATTAACTCTTAAAAACGAGGCTGGTTAAATGATGAAATGATAACTTTAAATCGAGCTAATGCTCAAACGTGTCGCTAGTGAAACGGAAAATACCTTAAAATACATATGTTCAATACTATTCTATACATTACTGATATTCGAGTGTAGCTAGAGGTGAAGTTGTATTTTCTCTCGATATGGTAGCAACATTGCAAATTCATCGGGATTTGTTGGTCAAAACATTAAAGAATACTGATTAGAATATTATGATTCAATGAGTAAAGGATGTAACGAATCAGTGTTATTATTTTTTAACATTATGTCGACGGAGAGTACAAAGACAAGAAGAAAGCAAGTTTACGACATGAATGAATGGAAGTACTGCAGAGTGAATAATTTACTACAGCAAACTAACGCGTTGTTCTCGATGACCTTTGTTAAATACATCAGGGGTGCTTCAGTGCTTATTGTTCCACTGAAGTAAATGAAATATTTTCGCTTGAAAATGGTATGGGAAATAGTAATTCAGAATTGTTACCTGTTGGCCAGCAGCTTCAACTTTGTAAAGTTTTGGAAACCAGTGAAAAATGGGAATATAACAAATAATAATAATAACCAGTTAAAGAACATTTGACGACCACGTTCTATTCCCATATTTGAAGATGAATTTTTTGTGCCTTTGGTGAATTATTAATTTATAGACGGAAGATGGTTCATGATTAATGTGTGATAAAATACTCGTTCAGAAAAATGAAAAATCGAAACAATATTTATAGTATTATCTGTCTTTATCGATATTAGAAATACAATATTTTAAAATTAAATAAGTTTAAATAAAAATTATTTGGTTTATTGCACTACGCAAAAACCTTTTTTGATTTTATTTTGATGAAAATTAAAAAGGTATAAGAGGTAAAAGAATATAAATAGGAATTATCATGACAGTTATTACAATCTACGAACATAAATAGGGTGAACAATGATTGAATATAATCTATATATTTAATATGCATTTAAAATATCAATCTTCATTATCATCATCTTCATTGTCCTCACCGATATCATCTAATATAGAATTTTAATAAATATATAAGTTTAAATTCATAATTGCATATGACTTACAGATAAATATTCACCTGATAAATTGAGCCCTATTAGACCTGAATCTAAATCTGATTAAAAAGTGAGTAATTTAATATTAATGATCGTATATAAATATTTAAGAACAAGTTGAACAAGTTTGTAATTTCATACTTACTATCGTATACAGAAGTTTCTATTATATCATTAAAACCTAACTGTTTGCTTACAAACATTAAGTTAGAATCTTTTGAACTTTTTTTAAATAATGATTGAACATTTGGAATTTCTTTATCAGCTATGTCAAATTCCACTTTAATTTTTTTAGCGTCGTCTCCACTAATATTTCCACATAAACAATTATACAAATATAACATATTCTCTTCTAATTCACTTGCAGTTGGTCTCTTATCGGGATTTGCATTCATACATTTATTGGCTAAACTTCTATAAATTTCGGGAGTGCCTTTACCAAAGTCGGGTCTTAATCCATCGCAAATAGATAAAGCAAGAGTAGTTTCACTCATACTTTTATTAAAATAAGGGGGGAAACCAGATGATAATTCTGTCATCATAACGCCAAAACTATAAATATCAGCATGACTACAATATTGTTTTCCCTTTAACACCTCGGGAGCCAAATAACCTAAAACACCATAAATTTTATCTGAAGATTTATTTGATGGTCCCGATAATCCAAAATCTGTTAAATAATAACGACCTAATGATCGTAATATGTTTCCGCTATGAAGATCTTTATGACATATTCCTTGTTCATGCAAAATTTTTAATTCTATTACAATATATAATAATATAAGTAATTTATATTGCCAATTTAATTCGGTAAACCTTTCTCCTAATAAGGATCGTAGACATCCTTGCTCTGCAAGGTTTGTCACCATCATAAATTCTGAACTGTTTGGATCTTTTGTAATTCCATAAAACGGTAATGATACATTATCTAGTGTCAATTTATGATAAACTTCCAGCTATTTTTTAAAAAAATCATTAATTTTTTTTTTTATTTTTAAAAATAAAAGAAAGATCAAGTATATAAATGTATTAAAAATAATTACCTCGTTTAAATATTCAGCAGAAATTTCATTTGACCCTTTAATACTTTTAAGTGCAACAGTATTTGGATATGTACGAATTTTTTTAGTTTTGGTTACTGGATCTGTATAAATAAATTTTTTTCCTCCATGTAACCAAGTTGCTGAATATACTTTTGCGAAACCACCTTCACCTATTTGTTTTAAATTTTCAAATTTTTCGAATTCAAACCACTTCATGCATTTGTCAATGTTGGATTTATTTTTTCGCGTTGCTTTAATAAAATTATCAATTGATATATTTCCACTTGTCACTCCGACAAGGCGGGATGATTTATCGGTGATCATTTTTATGAAAGTAATTGAGAGACTAAGTTCAAATTTTTTTTTTTTTTGTTTTTTTTTTAAAGAAAAAAAAAGAAAAAAAAGGCTTATTTATTTCTTTTTGATTGTACCTATTGTACCTTTTAATAGTAAATTTCTCAGAAAATCTTATTAATTTGTTGTAACTCCCGTCTTGTTAAATATTTCTTAAAAAAGAAATTTCATAATTAACAAAATACATTATATTCAAGTAAATAAATACATGAAACCTTTCTTTTACCGTAGCCCCTACTCCCTAATAACTGAAACGATCAGGACGTATGCAGAATCACGTGACATGTCTGAAAGAGGAAGATAATAGTAAATCAATTTAGACTACAAAAAAAAAATGTAGCGACAATGTTTCTATATTTAGCCTTTTTTTTTAAACAAGGGTGGGCCACTTTCGGTTTTAGTAATTACTTTAGCATATGTACGACTTTTATTTTTCTAATTACCATTCCGACTTCTAAAGTAAAAAAAAAAATAAGTTTAATCAATATTTATAAATTAAGCAAGAATATAAACTACATACATAAGGTTTTTCGTAAGGTCTTTCTTAAGGTTTACATAAATAAAAGTATGAAACTTTCGCTTAAATTTTCTTCGAATAGGATGATGTTACACAAATTTTATTGTGGTGCGTGATGTTTTCCGGACATTCATTTTCGATATATAATTCATTCCGTATATTACCTGGATATTTTCCGGACATTTTTGTCCAGAAATTAAAATATCTGGAAACGCAAAAACACTTACTGGTAAATTTGAAAATCACATGAACATGCACGTATGTATATTACAATTTTATTGTTAATCATCATAAACCGTAAATTATGCCTTTAGTTCTAAGGATAACATGCTTAATAAAGAAAGTATGGAAATTATGACGCCATTATCAAAAAAAAAGTTGAAGCGATAAATATAGGAATTAAACAAATTTTTCCTTTTAAACCCAAAAAATGTGTAAAAAAAATGAATAACATTGTAAGAAAATAAGAGCGTAATATAGAGGCAAGCATTTTTAACTAATATGTGAACACGGTGTTAAACTAGATAACCTTGAATTATCGATTGTATTTCATAAAGAATTATTCAGTAAACTCTAGAGTTAATAATGTATCTTTTACGCATTCTCAAAGGATCATTAAGGATGGCATACATTCGAAAGTTCTTGACTGAAAAATAAGAGTCCTATATATTTGAAGAAATAAAGGCTTTGGAATTTAAATTGGTGTACAAAGTAGCTTTAAGGAATACGCAGATAAGTGGGTATCGCAATGTATGTAGTGATATTCCAAGCGTCACTGCACCAGAGGACGATCCATAAACTTCATAACGTAATCTATATGTAGTCCTGGGTCTTACAGAACACTATATGGGCTATTTGTATGAAACAGCTGCTCTACTGTTGTTATCCTTAACAATGCCAATGGGTATTTCTATAAGCCCTAGACCAACTTTTAATAACCTCATAGGCAAAGAAGGGTATTGGGGTATACAAATTAATGTACATTTTACATTTTTCTAATAATGCATAATAGCTTGCATTACATGTTTTGAACTTTATAATTTTATAAATTTATTGAAAATACCAGAACGTGATGAATATATAGTAAAAAAATTTATGTTTATTGTATATATGGGTATAGTGTTTATAGAAATATAAAATATAGGATTTATAAGAGTATTATAACTTACTCGACAGAATTTGTATTATGTTTATTTTTGTCAGAGTCATTGAGTCATTATTTATGAGAATAAAAAAATTTTACTTACATAAACCACAGGAACAATGTTTATTGCACATCTTACAATTACTGCATTTTACATTATGGTCACATCCAAAATACAAGCACGCATCAGCTTAAATAAAAAAAGTTAAAAGTTAGTTTAACAGAATACATTTTAGTAGAAGACTAATGACTCTATGACCCTTACTTATTTTATAAGACATTTTTATTAAAAAAAAGCAAGCAAAAGTTTATCTTAAATAAAAAAAAATGGGTCAATCCTTCGGAATTTAGCGTATCAATTCAATTCCTACTTATGACTCAATGTGACAATTATTTTGTCAGTGCACCCGCATCTGGTTTATTCTGGTTATAGATGCTCTTCTTGCCCGAGTCGACCCGGTATCAATTTCTATATTGTAAATCAAAAAATTATGCCGATCTTTATTAATTAATTTCTCCCAACCGGCCCGATTTAGCTTGGATTAATCGAATATAAATTCTAATTTCCCAAAATTTTATTTGGAATATATAAAACTGATAAAGATTATACTTTTATATTGGAAATTTTTAATTATTACTAAAATATAAAAGATTAATAGTGTATTACTTCTGAAAGACAATATAAATAAACATAATATTTAGAAAATTCATAAAATATTAATGCAAAATTAACTGGTTTTATTTGCATAAATAAAAAATTTTCAATTAGTGAAATTAGCAATAAATTAAGTTTATACTATAATGATTTTAGGTTATTTTAATTATTTAACTTTGTTATGAAGGCATATTTTTAATCTTAAAATGAGTGATTATTCTATTTTTAGCAATTTCTTTACCCCAGACGTTGATAACGCTTGGATCACGAGGTATTTGTATATTTTTTTGCTGATGAAATCTTTTGGCCGCCATCATTCTACACCTTACAGTATTTACATGTAACACTCCTTACCCTGTAAAAAATCTGATCCGTGTTTTATCTTTCCATGTTTTTTCCGTGAATGTATCATTTTCATGGAATTTATAGCCTTAAATCATGGAAATTTTCATCTCGCTAACACGGATATCCTCATTTTCACGGATTTTTTACGGAAGACACGGAAAAATAATGGAAATATTCGGATAAAAATTTTTTATAGGGCTTCCAGAGTGAAGATAAATACGGGATTTTATTTTATAGAGACTGTCTTCTACTTTGCCCGTTAATATTTTTCGTTACCACCCTATTTTAGATTTATAGCTATGATCCCGTTCATTAGTTATAGGTTTCCTTTTTTCTGTTATTAGAGGGTGGGTTTGCCAATATGGTGAATGGCAGTTTAAAAGAATAGTTTCATTTGATTTTTTCTAAATAACTCTAGACATATGTATTATGTTCTCTGCTGTAACGATCCTTATCTTGCAAAGTAGGGATTTGAAATACATTTTACCAGAGAGTAAAATCTTTCTAATAATGCATAATAGTTTTGCATAACGTGTTTTGAACTTTATAATTTTATAAATTTATTGAAAATATCAGAATGTGATGAATATACATGTAAAAAAATTTTTGTTTATTATATATATAGGTATAGTGTTTATAATGATAGAAATATATAAAATATAGGATTTATAAGAGTATTATAACTTACTCGATAGAATTTGTATTATGTTTATTTTTGTCAGAGTCATTGAGTCATTATTTATGAGAATAAAAAAATTTCACTTACATAGACCACAGGTACAATGACTATTGCACGACCTACAATTAGTGCATGATACACTAAAAGTACATTCTAAACGCGAGCATATACCAGCTTAAATAAAAAAAGTTAAAAGTTAGTTAACGGAATACATTTTAGTAGAAGACTAATGACTCTGTGACCCTTACTTCTTTCATAAGACATTTTTATTAAAAAAAGCGAGGCAAAAGTTTGTCTTAAATAAAAGAAAAAATCTGTTGATCCTTCGGAATTTAACGTATCAATTCAATTACTACTTATGACTCAATGTGACAAATATTTTGTCAGTGTACCTTTAGATGCGAGTCGACCCGGTATCAATTTATCTGTTAATTATGCCGATCTTTATTAATTATCTCGACCGACCCGATTTAGCTTAGATTAATCTAATATAAATTCGGCGATTGAAAAATTTACTTATATATTTACAATTTTTAATTATTACTAAAATATAGTGTATTACTTCATATAAATATAATATTTAGAAAATTCATACAATATTAATGCAAAAATTAACTGATTTTATATGCAAATATGCATAAATAAAAAATTTTCAATTAATGAAATTATCAATAAATTAAGTTTATACTATAATGATTTTAGGTTATTTTAATTATTTAACTTTTCTATGAAGGCATATTTTTAATCTTTAAAAATTAGTTTTTTTAAGTCAACGATCAAAAGTAATGCATCGGTGATACGTCATGTGATTAGAAAACAAATTCACAATTCCTTTTTAGCAATTTCTTTACCCGGACGTTGATAACGCTTGGATCACGAGGTATTTGTATATTTTTTGCTTATGCAAATCTTTTGGCCGCCCATCTTTCTACACTTTACAGTATTTACGTGTAGCATTCCTTCCGGAGTGAAAGATAAATACGTGGGTTTTATTTTATAGGAACTGTCTTCTACTTTACCCGTTAATATTTTTCGTTACCACCTGATTTTAGATTTATAGCTATGATCTCGTTCATTAGTTATAGGTTACCTTCTTTTTTTCTATTATTAGAGGGTGGTTTGCCAATATGATGAATGACAGTTTAAAGAATAAATTTTATATGTTCATTTAATTTTTTTCTAAATAACTCTACAAAGATATTTATGACGAAGAGAGAACATAAAACATACCGTTTTCAGTCTACAATAATACATCATATATATTGAACTCGTAATTTTGTAAATTGGTTGAACATGATGAATATATTATGTTTATTGTATAATATTTGATATAATTAAAGAAATTGCATAACTTACTTATAAAAATTTACAATTTGCTTATTTTTGTCACAGAGTCACAGAGTCATTGAGTCATTATTTATGAGAATAAAAAAAATTTTACTTACATTGACCACAGCCACAATGTCTATTGCATTACATTTACTGCATTTTATATCAAGTTCACAATCAAAAACCAAGCACACACCAGCTTAAATAAAAAAAGTTAAAAGTTAGTTAATAACGGAATACATGTTAGTAGAAGACTAATGACTCTGTGACCTTACTTATTTTATAAGACATGATTTTTTAAAAAAGTGTAGGAAAAAGCTTGCCTTTAAATAAAAAAAAATAACCTGAACTCAATGTAACAAATCTTCGGAATTTAACGTATTACTATTTATGACTCACTGTGACAATTTATTTGTCAATGTGCCCCTGCATCACGCATTATAAATATTTGTTAATGTCAATATTAAAAATTTTTTTTCGATCACGATATGACGATAAGATAGAAATTTGGAATTTATGGATGTAAGAGATTTACCAATATATGAAAATATAGTAAGTTTAAAAGTTTAAATAGAAAGGAGAAAAGGATTATACAAATAATTCTAACGACATTGACAAATATAAATTAATTATGATCTTCAATCTTTAAAGATACTTAGTAGTTATATGATATCGTAGAAGATTATATATTATTTGTAGTTTTAAGTATAGTTAATGTTAATAACAGAACATGATCATATAAAGTGATTGTTACTAAGTTTTTATTATCCATTTGTATTTAATAAAAACGTTTATTTAATAATAAGGAGGAAAAAACAATTTTTTCCATTGCTAAGTTTTAACTTTGTCAGCAAAATAACAATTTCTATTTTCTAACTTTATTACAAACTATTATACCTGTCTCTTATACACATCTAGATGTGTATAAGAGACAGCTATTATACAAACACAGTAAGTTCTCGCGTACGCGTAAAAAAAAAAATTGAGCGGAAAAATGTTATCTTATAAATACTGTATGTTTACGAATTTTCTAATTTAAACATATAATTGTAAACTCGTAAGGGAAAAAAAAAAGAAACTTCGTATAAGAATAAATTTGATTAATTAAGAAGTGATAAGAATTGAGCAATGATCGGTTCTAGCCTATCTAAACATGAAATTTTTTTTTACAACTTTTCTTAAAGGTGTAATCAATCTTCCAAGATACTATCAATTTACCACAGCGATTAGCCACCACGTAAAATATTCTTTCATCGTATCTAACAAGATAATTCGACTGGTAGTAATAGAATAATAGATGCATTTGTTAAAGTAGATAAATCAAACATTCGAACATTTACTTTTTTAATTCGTTTGTTGATAGAATCTGAAAATCGAGTAATTGCTTGCGGCAAATCCCTGACAAACTTTCCATCATCATATCCTAAAATGTCGCAAGCAACCTATTCCAGATGTTATATGAAATATTAATATCAATACTATAGCGCCATTAGAATTTTCTTGAATTTTTCTTTATGGTCTAGCCAAGTAATATTTACAATATGTGATGTTTCATTTAAACTTTTTATCGCCATTTTCGAATTACTGTGATCAGGTGATATATTTTATTTATAAAACTGCGAATACCGAAAGCAACCAAAAACAAGAAATACAAATACAGCTTATTTACACTAATGAAAAAAATAGATAGAAACGAAAAAATAGTTAGAAATTATAAAAATAAAATGAAAAAGTATTATCTTTTATTTGGTTGGAGTTATTAAGAAACTTTGGAATCTATAGGAATCAATCAGGTCTTTAGGAATCGGTTTATAAGCTATAACAAAAATAAAAGGTGAATATTATACGATGGTGGCTTAGCATTACACAGATCAAATGATATTGATTTTATTTTGAGTCAATTATAGAAATTGATCGACGATCACACCAATTCGAAAACGGCGATAAATGGTTAAAGTATCTTGACTTTTAAAATAACTACGATACAATAAGGCAAGTTACTTATTTATAAATTAAACTAAAAATCATAAGTATTTTACCTAAACTTTCATTCTGACCATGGCGAAATTCTAAGTAACATAGGAGGTAATAAAACAAATAGTATAAAGACCATTTTGACATCAGGAAATTATTTTTAGTTTAGCTCAAAATAATCCTCTCATCAATTTTATATACATCTTTGCAAATGGAAATATTTTTTATCAAGTATAAAATTTTCAGTTTATAATAACGTATTACGTTTTATAAAAATTTATAAATTGAAAATAAAAAATTTGTTTATTGTAAATATGGATATAAATGATAGAAATATAACTTTTCATTTTCTTTTTTCACAGAGTCATTGAGTCATTATGATTTACGAAAATAAAAAAGAGATTTTACTTACAATTACCGCATGTACAATGTTCACGGCATGCCCCACCGCCTCGCTTACTCCCGCAGACAATGCATGACGTTTCTTTGCCACAATTCATAAACGAGCACGCATCAGCTTAAATAAATAAAAAAAGGTTAGAAGTTAATTAATAGAATAAATTCTAGCAGATAAATCAATGACTCTGTGACTCTTACTTATATAATCCATTATTCAAGAAAAAAAATGTAAGAAAGCTTTGTCTTTAAATATTGATTAATTCAATTGCGGCATCATTCGGAATTTAACGTTATTAATGCAGTTACAAGTTATGACTCACGGTGACAATTGCACTCAAGACTAACCTTCTCTGGCTAAATAACTGACTGTGCAGAATTTCTGGATCCGGATCATAACAACTCCATAACGGGAAATACCCATTTATACCCGTTTATATATCTGAGTATTAGATATTTATTGAATTTATTAAGACTTTGACATTGTTAAACTTTAAAAAATAAAGTATTATATAATAAGCGTTGCTAAAGCTCATTATTAGTGACTGACAACACATTACTTAATTCTGACCGAAAAATTTAATTTTTTTTTGGTCAATGTTAATAAAATTAAAAAATTATATGACTATCACTAATGATACATGTTTCATTGTTTCAGGGTCCATTTTTCTAGTAAAGTTCCTAAATGTAATTTATATAAACCTTTGATTCTGGAAAGCTTTAATTTTGATTAGAGTAATTACCCGGGGCATACCCGGGTAGATAACCCGGCTTTACTCGGGTATATTTGTATCAACATAAAAAACGGATACAAACACGGCCAGCCATTTTTACCCATTTGTTACTGTATTCCCCTAATATACCCGGATTGTATCCGATTAACCCTATAAAAAATTTTATCCGTTATTTTTTTGTAAATAATCCGTAAGAATGTGCCTTTCACGGTTCCATTCACAAAAAAATGAAAATAATTCAAAAAATTCCGTGATATAAGGTTATTAATTCTGGAAATATGAGCCTTTTACGGAAAAAAAGTTGGAATATAAAAAACGGATAGACTTTTTTTACAGGGTAAACGGGTTACGGATAAACGAGTCGTGACCCCTCTTCATTTTGATTGAAAGATCAATTATGGAAAAGATCTCATATCAGTTGCAAGATGCATAAGTTAAGGTTCGTAAGTAAAGTATGAATTTTATTATAATTTCAGATATACTGTACATTCAATATAATAAATATTTATAAAAAATGAAAATAATCAAAATTCACTAGCTAAATTTATTGTAATAAAACTAATTTGATAATAATTGAAAACACAATAATAAAATAATTGTGGATTTGTAAGAAAGAAGAAAAAAGAAACTTTGTATAAAAATAATTCAATCCCTTAAATCCCTTGGAGAAAGTTTTTTATCATCAATATACCAACCAATAACAGGCGAAACAACATATTCTTCATCAATCTTATCTTGTCTACAACCTAGAAACCCTCCAACAAATCTTAATTGGAAGTTATTTTTATTAATGCTCAATGTGAATGGAACATTAACCAATCCAGAAGGTATATCAGAAGGATAGCATCCTAATTGAGTGTATGGAAATAATGCACTTATCCATCCATCCCAACGAGGACGTGTACCAAGTTCTTCGCTGCTGTAACCACTGGGTCCAATAATAGGAGCTTGAAAAACAACCATATTCCAAAAGTTTTCATCAACGTTTCCTTTATAAGTGGTAATGAATTGAGAAATGACCGGTTCCAACCTATCGAGCCAGAAATCAAGTTCCAATCCTAAATTACGAAGATTTGCAACTTTTTCTTGAAGGTGTAACCAATCTTCTAAGGTGCCATCAAGGGTAACTTTTGGAATACCACATCCACCACGCAATCTAAGGATAAAAAATTCTTTCATCGCATTTAACAAGGTAATTCGACTGACTATAATAGATGTATTTGTTGAAGTAGAAAAATCACATTCGAAAATTTCTTTTAAGGCAACTTTTTTAACTTTTTCATCAACTGTATCCGAAAGTCGAGTAATTGCTTGTGGCCAATCACCGACAAAATTTCCACCAACTTGATCTATAATATCACGAGCGTCCAGGTAGATTTCTTTTTTACCTTTATGGTCAACAAACAAATGACGAAAACGGTAGGCGTTTCTCCAAATGTGATTACTGACACCCTGTGCAACTGTTAACCAAACATCATCTGGTGAGAATCGAAGGTGTTGATGAAGGGTATACGCATTGATGATTGCTGAGGCCAATCCATGCGGAGTAGGTTGTTCCCAGATTATAGAAGTTGGATTGGAATTTAATTTTTCTGCATAGTCCATTGAGAAGGCATATATCTTGCATTCATTGGACCGTGAATTATAGTAATCCTTAATATTTCCATGTGCGAGAAATTCATTTTTTGGTTCAACTTTATCAGTTATTTTTTGGGTGCTTCGTGGAGAGTTCATCGTTAATTTAAAATGCTATTAAAGAAATTTACGTATTATTTATATTAAAAAAAAATTTCCTTATACGGAAACAAAAACATCAGCTGATCAAATAATGAATACAATGAATACAATCGATTTGCAATTCAAAATGAGATTAAAAAAGGAAATTAAAGTGCAAATTCAAAAGGTGAAACAAATAATATTCAAAACAATAGAAATGACAATCGAATAATCTTAATATTTTTTGTGATCAACTATATTGTCGGCGTAATTTTTCACATGAATGCATAATCCAGTTGATCTACGTTTTCACCTCTATTTATGAAATATACACAAATTTTCACGTGATTTTTATTTAATTTATAATTAATTTACAACGTTTGACCGCAATCCCGTTTTATTTAACTCTAGCAGGGTGTTAATTACAAACCTACAGTAATTTTATCAGTTGATCATAGAAATCGATTTTTTTTTTATTTTTTCTTTACTAAGAAAATCAAAAGTGTCAATTGATCAACTGCGAAGAATAAGAATCAAATTTGATAGTCGCTAAGGATATCCGAGTGCATTAATGTAATATTTCCTTTTAATTAAAAATGATTTGTGACCTTTTGAAGAAAATTCTTCTTCGATTCTCAAATTTGAAGGTAACCTTGATAAGTTATTACTTGGGTGAGATTTATATGTTGCACTTTAATTTTGATTTGATAATGAAATTAAATTATGTTTAGTTTTCATAGATGAACTTTTAGATTATATTGCTCTTTATCGAAGAATTTATAGAAATACTTGAGAAACAGCGAAACATGTAGAATATTATTCAGAGAAAGAAAAATTTACTTAAAATATTGGAACAGAGATAGTAATTCCTGCATCAATAACCGTAAAAATAAATAGATGGAGTAGCGTAGCATGATATTAAAATTGAATCAAAGGTTATTGAACAATTTTTTTTTATTACCGTTCATATTATAGAACGACATTATGAAAGAAAACTTATAAGGTTTTTAAGTGAGTTTAAAAAGTTAAAGGAAAATAATTTTCGAAATTTTAAAGTGTTGATAAGTGAAAATGAAGAAGAGAGTAGAAGTTTATTGCGAAATTGTGAAAATTAATTCAAATGTAAATTATTATTTAACTCTAATTGTTAATTTTTTAAAAATTGTAACAAAAACAAAAGTACTATAAAATTAAAAAATCACTTTTTTTTTTAAAAAAAAAAATTATTTCTGCGGCATCCTTATAAGGAGCGCCAAGAGCGTATACGCTACAGAGTGTTGCTTTCTTAGCATGCGAGGTTATAGATCTTTCTAACAAGGAAAGCATAGAAAGCTTAACAGGGAGATTTGATAAGTACTGAAACGTCATAAATAAGAACCCGTATTTAGAGTTCATACTTAATATTCTTAAAGTATCAAGCGTATTTCGTGTTGAATTAGTGTTGAATTTTTATTATTTGTGATTATTTCCTTTTTTTTACATGATAATTTTATGATATAATATTTTAAGATTCCGCAATGAAGTTAAAAGGATTCATATTACTAGTTTCCAGATTTAATACATAGAAAATTAGGAATCGATCGATGTGATAAATGTGACTCACGATCGATATACCCCTATAAATATTAGTAATGACTCATGAGGATTTTCAATATTAAACTTCTTTTTACATTTTTTTTAAAAAAAATTGAGATATTTTTTATCAAGATCAGATTTTTTTATCAAGATTCAAGATTTTATGAGTCATTATTTTTTTTATGAAACAATATAGTAAAATATATAAACAAATCTTGATCTTGTAAATTTTGTACATCGAAGTTCCACATATCATCTACTGTGTAAAAGGTTTTTTAAAAAAGTATAAATATACCCAAACTCCCTCAAATTTCTCAATACTTCATTTTTCATTTTTTTATCAAAAACTTCAGATAAATATATTCATATAACAAACTCACAAACTCACGAACTTAGAGAAATTAAACTCGTACTTTATGGAAAAATATATTCAATATGAAATTTTCCTTTTTACGAACTTTCTCTTCAATAAGTAACTTGTCAGATGAAACTAATAAACCAAGAATATCTTTTACCAGATGGGTTCTTTAGGTCTTCTTTTGTTTTTTCAATATTAAAAAGATACATTTTATTATTTTATGGAAAAATATATTCAAGATAAAATTTTTTTTATTTTTTTAATTTTAGGCAATACTTGTGACAATTCTTTCTTGGTTGGTAATGAAATAACAATAAACAATACTCAAACTCAACATTTAAGGTCAATGTTACAAAGGTTGAAAATAAAGAATATAATCTTGAATTTTCTACTGAAGATGAAAGAATGTAATACAGTATGGATTGTATTTACAAATTAAGATTTATGGTAGACCAATATTAAGGTAAGCATGCGCTCCCTGCTTGCATAGTTTTAATGATACAGGCTTACAGATAAAAAAAGTTGAAAGGGAGTATATATGAGAAACTGGCTTTCCTGGAGGAGGGTTAGCCTATGCACCTGGCTTGTATGCATGGTGTCATATTGTCAGTGGTATCCCAAAGGACCATTACAGTAGGGGTTAAAAAAAAGTAACAAAAAATAAAAGAAAAAAATATATATAAAAAAGAAAAAAAGGTAAAAAAAAAAAAAAAAAAAAAAAAAAAAAAAAATAAAAAAAAAAAAAAAAAAAGAAAAATAAATTAATTGTAACGATCTTTGTCATTCGCCTATGGTGGTGGTTGATTTTTCTTCCACCTGGTACCAGCCGTATAATGACTTTTTTCCTTAAAAAACATTTCATTAATATTTCTTTGTATTTACTTNTTACAGTAGGGGTTAAAAAAAAGTAACAAAAAATAAAAGAAAAAAATATAAAAAAAAATGAAAATGAAAAAATAAAGAAAAAGAAATGAAAAAAAAGAAAAAAAAATTAACAAAAATAAAAAAAAAACAAAAAAAAATCTTTATTGTGCAAGTTCTAGGGTGTCCACTTGAGTATGATACCATCACCTTTCTGGAGACTTTTTTTTTACGCTATGGTGGTTGATTTTTCTTCCACCTGGTACCAGCCATACTAACGACTTTTTTTTCTTGTTATTTCAGTTATAGACTCCATTTATTATACTTGTGATTAAAGAAGAATAGCTGAAATTCATGTAGACTATTATCTATTTTCTTGCAAAGATTGTTAAAATCATGACTTTTGTTATGAACTTACAAACTATAACAGATAAAATCTTTCGTTTGGAAGAAAAAAACATGTATCAAATGAAATTTCTTATGTGTGGTGCAACTAGTAAGCCATTAGGACATTGCAAGGTTACTGTATTCAAAATAGCCAAAATAACCGTTTAAATTTATATGAAAAAAAGAAATATTGAATTAAACTGGTTTACTGCCGGCTGGCATTATTTAAAATTGAATTATTCTAAATAATAGTATTAAATAGCGAAAAATAAAATATTTTTCATGTTTTAAACCAATTAATAATTTTGATATAATTTTATTATAAAATCTAGTTTACAGAGAATTTTATCATGAAATCGATTTCTTCAAATCAAGAACGTCAATTGAATTACATCATCTGTATTCTATTATTGACAGAATTTTTGCAAACGAGCTGGAAAGCTCTACTCTAATCGCAATGCATACCAATAGTAACACATATGATGAACATGGACTGGCATCGACATAGTTGATGACATATTCAGGAGTTCCACATCAACTCGTTTTCCTGGATGTCTGACGAACGATCTTTGTTTTTGGAATGCTAACATTCATTTTCTTTTATTAAAATTAAATGTATTAAACAAATCTGCAAATTATTATTATTTACTTTTATTTTTATTGATTTAATTGGAATAAAGAAATAATTAGAAAGATATGCATCTTTCAATTCTTTCGTAGGCTTTATTCCTTCACATTGTAGGTTTACAGGAATAATTATAATCTTACTAATTAATACTGTAAATCAGAGATTCTTTTGTTACGAAAGTACGACCTTAATATGGACACATATAATTACAAGTTGATATTTCATTCATATATTCGTTTGAACTGAAATTATAATTTCACACTAAGTTTTAAGTTTAAACCTTATTTAGTCTAGATTCCAAACTCGCTGAAATACATTTATCTGTGTATTTTGTTATTTATTTGAACATGGTTACATAAGGATTTTTTTTTATTACACTATACAGTATATTACTTTGAAATTTTAATTCTATTTTTATTTGTGTTCATACTTGTTTAATAATAAGTTTTTTAGAAAAATCGTAAATTTAAAATTTGCGATAAATACTATCTACAATTATTTATTATTAATTATGGAGTGATCCTAATAAATAACCAATGTTATGTATATAGTATATGTTTTTAGCTTTATCATAAAAAAGATTCTTATTAAATGATGAAATTTTAATTTGTCAGTTAAGAAATAATGATAATCATATAAGTATTTAGTATCATCTTTGAAAAATTGACAACATTATGTAATTCTAGCAAGTGTTATATGAAAGAGAAAGATCGGTTATTTATTTAGTATTTAGTAAGTTTATAAAAAAACTAATTTTTTTTTTTTTTAAAAAAAAAAANAAAAAAATGATTAAAGATTTATTTTTTTAGTATCAAAAAAAATAACAAAAATAATTAAAATTTTATTTTCGATTTGAAATAAAGAACTAAAAAAAAATAAAATAAAAATATTAATAATCAAAAATAAAAATCAGAAGCTTGAAAAAAACTGAAAAAAAAAAAATAAATTTGAAAATAAAAAATTTCAATTTAAAAAAAAAACAAAAATTTTTTCTGCTACCGCATCATTCCAAAGAAAACCAAACCTTTTCATTAGCAAAAATTCAATCAAAAATTTCATTAACCGGAACTGATTTAGTCACGAAATCTTCATAGATTATAGCCAACCAAATTATTCTAACCTGATTTGTCGCCATGTTATACATGATCCGCGCCACATGATTATCCACACCTTTCTTTTCTAAAAAAATTGTTAACATGTCATATCAACAACAAAATAAGGTTTGTAAAGGATGTATTATTAGAGGAACCACCAAATTTAAATCATTGGAAAAGATTAATGATGACATTAGAGCACAAAATTTGCTAAACCAACCTAGAACTTGGAAAGATTTGAACCATAACACAATGGGCATAATACATATTGTAGTATTTATAACAATATTTGTAATGTATAAGAACAAAAGCTATTTAGAAACAAATATAATATTGTTAACTATTATAGTGAAAGTAAGTAAAATGTAATACCTTAATAGTTTGTTATAATAAATAATGATATTAAAGTACATAAAATAAGCTTTTTAATTTTTTGCCAATAAAGAAATAAATATATACAAATGGTTTCACGATCGAAGTATAATTACCAACACAAAAAAATATTTTCTAGTTAATAGCAAAATTTCCAGGTTTAATTATATAACTTACTATTATTTGTTCTATATATTTTTCATTCTAGGATAACGTAAATTTATAACTATTCATAATTACGAAAATAATCCTCATTGATCAGGCGCAGGTATGTCATGGTTTCATGTTATAAATAACTATTCTAAACATCTGCAGCCTGATCTTAATCTTCAACCTGGCTTAAACCTAAAAAATGAATTTTAATTGTACTTAGTAAAAGAGTTCTTTTCTTTTACTTTTGGACATTTTTTTTTTTAATAAAATAAAAACTTCAATTGTTTTAATTTTCATAATAGTCATAAAATTATTTTGATTTCATATGTATCTCGTATATGGCTATTTTACGCAAGATAAAATAAAAAAAAAATTAAATGGATAATTTAATGGCTATACAATAATAATACGAATTACCTATAAAATTATTCAATGATCAAACAAAACGTAAATTTTATTTTATTGTTAAAAAAACCTACTATTTTTAAAATTAAATCATATAATTTATTTTATTATTAATTGTTAATGGAAACTAGTACAGACCTGAGAATTTATTTCATTAAAATTAAAAAAAGACTGCAATTTATATTTATTTAGTTTATTTGCTTAAACAATACAAATAAAATTAACTATAGGGATGAAGTCCTACTGCATACGGCAGTAAAATTCTAATTATCTATCAAAGTTTTTCCAACATTGCAAAACACTCATATTATCAACATATAAATCAACTTTACTATCATCAGCAGGAAGTATAATTATCACCATTACAATTGTTACTAGTTCCAATTCGAACACGAATTATTTACCATTCCCCCTAGTGTTTTTAGTTTTCACCTACTAATCACCATATTTCAACTGTCAAATATCTAATTAGTGGATCAGCTCAGATCGGGTATCCGATCCAAATTTGAGCCAGGTCATAATAGATTTTTATCCTACTTTTTGGTTGAGTAACATTATAATAAAATTAACATAATATAAAATACAATGTAATTTTTACTTTGTTACATTTTTATAACAAACTACATACAAATCATTATATTTATTTGTCATATAATTATAAATACTTTATTTAATCATAAAAAATATATTCCAATAAAATATCATACTATAGTAATGTTAAAGAAAATAAATAGTAAATAATAAAGAAATTTATATCCAAGATCCCTTTCCTTTCTTTAATTCTGTTACTTTTATCTATAAGTGAAAAATAAATTATTAAATAATATTATTAATAAAATAAATCATGTAAAAAGTTAATGTATATAAGTACCTAGGTCTAGTTTAGTAAAATCTATTGCTTCTATTGATTCTATAATATATATATATAAAAAAATAATGATATACATCAATAAAATCTTTAAAGAATGCTTTTGTAAAGTTAAAATAGGAAATGAATTACCTGAATATTCTCCAAATGAATTATCATCATCCTTGTTATCAATAGCATTTTTTTGTTCTGGAAGATTTTTAAAATCTAAAAGTCTACTCGTGTAAATTGCTTGAGGATTTGTAGTATATGAAAGAGTAGGACCAGTATATAATGATGATGATGATGTTAACTTCTCATTAATTTTATCTGCTTCTTCAATTTGCTTTTTGATTTCATGATCACTACTTGAATAATATAAATCTTTTAATAAATTATATAATTCTTTAGCTTTAGGTCGTTTTAAAGGATCAGCATCCCAACATTGTTTAATTATGTTTAGAATTAATTGAGGAATTTTATAATTTGATTTTGGCCTAAGTCCTTAACAAATGCTAATAGTTAAGAATTTATCATGAGCAATATCATGATAAGGAGGAAGCCCTGTACAGACTTCATATGCAATAATTCCAAATCCATATATATCTCTTTCTTGAGTTTATTCTTTTCCTCTTAAAACTTCTGGTGCTACATAGGGTAATACTCCATATAGTTCTTTACATTCATTTTGAGATGGTTTTACATTTGCTGGTCGACATAATCCTAAATCAGCAATTAAAATAATTTCGCTTTCTTTTAATATATTACCACAATGAAAATCACGATGAATTAACCCATTTAAATGAATATATTTGAGGCTAAATAAAAGTTCTTTTAAAATATTCAACTTTTCATCCCATTTTGTTGAATTAAAACTATTATTTAAATGTTGTCTTAAACTACCATTTATTACATATGCCATTACTATTATAAAATTTCTAGATTCTGGATCTTTAGTAATGCCAAAACAGTGTGCTATACAACCTGTGTATGGAATCATAATATGGGTTTCAATCTAAAAAAGAATCCATAATAATAATAATTAATAGACAGTTTAACATTTATAATAGGACAATATCTTGAAATTACTATATATAAATAAGTAACTTACTTCTCTTAAAAAATCGGATGTAATATCTTGAGAATTATGTAAACATTTTAAAACAACTGGAAAATTCTCATATTCCCTAAACCAAAATTTACTTCTTATCCATTTATTATTCTCAAAATCCCATTTATCTATAAGTCCATCTTTCCAAATTGCTTTATAAATAGTTCCAAATCCTCCTTTTGCCAAGTATTCAACATTTTCAAATCTATCATATTCAATCCATTCTAAAACTTCTTGATAATCTTTAGCTTTAAGTTGTACTTTTTGAATAATATTGTCAACTTCATGATTTCCACTAGTCCAATTTTTAAAATTTTGTTGAAATTTACATTGACACCAATCACGAGAAGCTCTAGGTTGCTTACATTCTTTGCATGAACCATTTTCTTTATAACGTTTTTTAAATTCTTCATTTAATATTAACTTATCAATTAACAAACTTTGTTCTTCAGTCAGGTTCCAATGGTTAAAATCTTTTATTTGCTCAAACACATCATCATTGAGCATAAACTTTTCCATATTGGATTAATAAATGTGACTTCAATTTTATATCAAACGAGTAAAAAAAAATATTTTTTTTTTTTAAAAAAAAAGACGGCTTTAAAAACGTATTACTGTTGCACAGCAGCGATTGACAAAATCATTTTTAATTTAGGCAAAAACAATAAAGCGTTCAAGAAATCAGCTGATGATCACAGAAATCACTACTGATTATAAATTTCCTTTTCAATAAACTCCAAACCAAAACCAAAATACTTGTTTCACAAAAAAAAAAAGCTGTGTCGATTATCAAACGCCAAAATTATTTCCATTATACTATATCTGATATAGGTACTTTATTGAATTTTGAAAAATACAGTACAGTCAATCAATATCATCATCAGTAACAACATGCATGCATTAAAAATTATAATTAGAATCAATCACGTTAAAATTATTTAGGTTGAAAAATTTTTAAAAAAATGTATTGACCAATTAGTTTTAGTTACTATAAATCTGTACAGAAAATTTTAAAAAGAAGTAATTTCCATTATTATTATGTGAAGAAAATTCGTATTAACGAATGAATTCAGTTATGATATAATCATCATTAAAGTAGGTTAAGATTATAAAAATTTCAACTGCTTGTAAAAATAAAAAAAAATAATGTTATGACAAAACAATAAATTAAATATTTCAATCTATTATAACATCATTTTTCCTAATAACTCTATTAACATAAATTATTGTAAAAACAAAATGGTATTTAATGACGCAAATATTTTCTCAAAATTCAAAAAATTATAAAAATTTAATAATGACAAGGTAGTTACGCTCAAAGATACTGTAAATTATCTTAAATAAAATCAAGCAAGTTGCCTTTAAAATAATTGACTGCGTTATTACCTATGGAAAATATTAAACTACTAAAATTATTCTTATATTAATAAATGAAATAAGAAAGGAAGTTATTTGAAAATATTATAACTTTGCTTAAGCAGAATAAATAGGGGGTTGGGAAATCCAAAATTTTGGTCACCAATTTTTTAATGCCGATCATGACACGTGAACAAAGTTAACTTAATAATATAATCAAACAAGTAAATGTTATATAAATAAGTTATTCAGTGACGAAGAATCTCTCACTGTCCCCTTACAAATGCTTTCTCCGAGGCTTCTTTGTATCAATCTGATACAGAACCAGCATCAAGCTCAGGTATCAATATTTTCAAAGCAAGTAATGTAAGCTACAAGATATTCTTTATTTAAATTATTTAAATATTGGTTAAATTTTTTTTCTTGAAAATTATTTTCCAATACTAACAAAATTTTAATATTTGATGAGATAAATTATAAGAAAAAGTTCAATTAATTTAAATAATTTAAATGTATTATATGAAAAGTAATTACTATTATGGTATATCTAATGTTTATATAAGACAAAAGGAAAGAATTTCACATTCAATTAAATCTTTTACCATTTATCTCTTTCAAATCGGTTGTAAACTTGTTTGTTTAGATTAAGTTACAGCCCAGTTCTTTTTTTTTTAAATTTTACTTTACTATTTCGATAACAAATCAACTTTTTTTTTTAAAAAAAAAAGATAAAAATTCACTTTTGAATAGTGAAAAAAAAAATATTTTAATATATAATTAGTAATAAATTGATTGTTAAAATATAAAGTCATTTACCAAATTACCGCAAATCTATTTTGATCATTTTTTCCATTTTGAGTTAAAAACCAAATTTAAGGTAAAAAAAAAAATATTCTTATTGTTTACTAATAAATAATAATAGAAAAATTTCTCGTGTTTTTTCTTATTTCAGCCAACGTATCTGCTCGTCTATTCCAAAGTCAAACATAAGAATTTACCATTGATTTGTATGATTAATAATAATAAAACAAAATAATTTTTTTTATAGAGTGGACTTATTGGATTTGCATCAACGAAGTATCAGTTTGGTCATTCTGAATTTAATGGAAAAAAAAATTTATAATTGAACAGTGATCGGAAATAAGAAAATATGGTAAAGATTTACTTACCATCAGCATTCCATTTCGATCCATTCCTTCCGTTTCAAAGCTTAAGATCGATCCTAAAATAAATAAGGTAAAAAAAAGTATAATTAAATAAATAATTGAAATAAAAAAAAAAAAGAAAAAATAATAACTAAAAAATGTCATTTACACATAGGAGAATCAAAGGAAATTTTTTTTAAATCAATCTTTTTAAGATTGCTCAATTTTTGGCGTAAAATAAATATTCTCCCAAAGGAATCTTTATTTTTACTTGTGCATTATGTATTTGTACACAAATAAACAAAGTAATAAAGGTTTACTTTTTTTTTAAACAGATATATAACATTATTTCTTTTGTTACTTTTAAAATAAATTTAACGAATAATCATGTGATTGTATATTTTAAAAGCTGATTATTACGACAAAGGAATTACTCATTTGAATTATTTGCAAACTAACAATCGATCGATCAACATCGTTTCAACATCTTTTAAATAAAAGGCGCTATCAAAAAGGCTCTTAAAAGGCAAACATTTTCACAACATTTGTAAGAAGTTTATTAGGTAAAATGTTATTGAATTCGTAAATCTGTCAATCACATGATACACTTACTGATCAATTTAAATAGACAATTGGTAAAGTTTATATTATAATGCGTAATCTACGATGCGTAATCTACAATACGATGCCAAGTCTAACGATATTAATGTAATAATAGAAGAATTGATTTATTGCATCAATATTAAGTATTTCTTTTTTTCGTCATTTTATTTATTATTTTTTTTTTCACGTGAAAATTTCACAAAAAATAAAATACCATACCCTTATTATATGAAACAATGAAATATTATTCCTAAATACAACCATTCAATTTTAACAGCGTAAACTTTTGCGACATAATTTGTCTTGATATTTTTTATTCATGGAAAATTATTCTAGACAAGAAGATACGGAAATGGAAATGAAAAACCATGAAACAATAATTTCTTCCCCCCAGACCTTCCTTCCTTCCATACCATCCACTGAGGAACTTGAAAACATATCGAAAACAAGTGACTTGATACACAGATTAAAAGAATCAAATTTAGGATTGACAGATGATGACTTCGATGTTCTCAAATATCATAAATAATCGGGCGAACGTTCCTTTTATTAACGGAAGAAAAACTCGAAAGTTGAGGTGTGAAATTAGGACCAACGTTGAACATTATATGTTCGATTAATAAGATTCGGAAGAAAATCTCAAGATCAAGATCATGTGAATATTTATTATTATTGTCTTTTGCAACGTTGTGTTTGATTGAATTTGGTCTTAATACATTATATTTTTATTTTAATAGCAATACCCCTATGAAGTCATGATTTATGCAATAGTATATTATGTATATGCAATGATTCATTACAGCACTACAGTACTGCGCCTTTAATGTCATAGTTTTATCAATAATTGTTATCGCGTCATGTGATATTTTAAGGAATTGTTTGTGTATTAAACATATACAATTTACAGTATTTAAATTTAAATAGTTATCTTTTATACAGGATAATATTTTTTATATAATAATAAAAATAATAATAATAAAATGAAGTGTCTATCGTTGAGGCAAAAATTACGTTCTTGACCCTCTTCGTATTACTTATTACTTTCTTGACCCGGTCAAATAATGATTAATGACAAAATAATTTATTATTATTTTCTTTTTATTTTAATATTTAGTTTTATGCGGTTGTGTTTAGTATTTATTACCTAATTAATGTACTTATCTTAAATGTAATCTATTTATTGGCTATCTTTTGTAATTAAAATAAAATTTTTTAATTTATCAATATTGTAGCTAGAAATAAAAAAGTATTAAAGGACGCAAATATAAATATGATAAAAATAAAATATTTCTTTTTTGTTTATCACATATCATGTTTCAGGTCAAGAAAGGAACATTTTTATCATACATAATCATGCATATTTTGACCTGGTCAAGAAAGTAATACGAGGAAGGTCAAGAACGTAATTTTTGCATCGTTGAGTGCTTCGTTTCAAACTCGGGTATAATGTAAATAGGAACAAATAATATGTCTATATCTTAATAATTTAACATGAAATAAACATTTCTTAAATTGTGATTTTGAATGAGTTACCAACAGCTTCCAACATTATATTTGTCGATGTGTAAAAAAATGGTCAATTGATCCTGAACGTGGAAACGCTGATAAGAGGTAACGCCACGTATTTTTTCTTTGTAAGCATGATGGTCAAGATATGTGCACTCCACCTTATTATAAAATTTATAATATTCATTATTTGGTTTGAGAATGGCCTACGTATATCGTGTGAAAATACTTCTGATATTATATCCCAGGTGCCTGTAGTCTTTTTGGTAAACTCTTGAAACTCCTTTGTCTTCAGCATATCGTAAGTACGTTGCAAATATCTCTTCTCAAATCATCAAACTCTCGATAGAACTCTATTATAAGTTGTTTTTCCGACATTATATCTGTGTTTTTTGATTTTTTGACATGTTTATATATAATTTGTATAATAATTTGTATTTTTGTTGAATATTTCTTCCGCTAAAAAATTGGTACAAAAGATCGTCGGAAAGAGTTTATATACCCACCTATTTAAGACTATTATTTTAGTATTTTACGATTGTAGTTTCACGAGATCATCTGATACCATGTCACTACGTGTTGGATAATAAATTATTGCGGGTTGATAGCGAAAACCTAAACAAATTATAGTTATCTGCAAAGTTAGCTTCTAATAACTCTATATAAATAATATAAATAAAAATTTTAAACGTTATTTTAAATAATTTTAAAAATAGTAAATAAATAAAAAATAAAATAAAACCAAAATATTAAAGTATAGTACTTGTCTTTTCTGGTAGCTTCTAATAACTACTTCACTTCTTAAATGTTCTAAAGTTGATTACTAGTTGATTATTCCATTTTTCATCCTATATAATTGGTTGGTGACCTGACGACCTGACCACGTGATCATTTACTTAATTTTTATTGGATAATATAATAAATTAAGTGATGATACTAGTTGGTTCGCATCTTCATTAACCAAATTAGAAAGAAATCTACTTTGAAATATATGTAAACTATAATATTTGCCTATATTATCTATATTTAAAAAATTTATATTTGTTTTTAAAGTATTTTAGAAAGTGATTTCAAAATTAAATGACAATGAAGACAATAAGACAACATTAAAATGAATTTAATTGGCTAATGTTCATCACATGATTTATGGGTCGCACTGGTATGGTCGCCAATGTATTTTTTTTTTAAAAAAAAAATAAAAAAATAAAAACTAGTCAAAATTAAAATAAATTACGTACCATCCTAACTTAAATACACTGTCATATTCTTTATATCTAACGTTTTTATAAATTATCATAAATTCCCTCTGCAAGTTTTAAATTTAATTTCTCAAATAATTATCAGTGTTGATCATTTCTACAAATCGAATGCACCAAACACATTGGGAATTTTTTTTTTCCTTTATAAAACAAAAAATAAAACTTTAGTAATATATTTTAGGTAGTGTGCATAAGAAAATGTATAAAAATTATATTATTCACATATTATGTACTCACTTTTATCGCACGGCCCTATAGGATCATGCTGATTTTATTTGACCAATATTTTCATTATCGTACAATATTGGTGTCAATAGTTTATTTGTGTATTATATTGAATAGTGATAGTTTATTTGAGCATGACCTGAATTAGCCGTACGATAATATAGATATTGTATGGTGGTATTTATGTTGGTTAACGACGTTAACCAATATAAATATAACACTGTACAATATCCATAAAATATTTGCCTGTGCTCACTTGCGCTCACTTGTGTTCAGTGTGTTCGGTGTATTCGGTTGTGTCCGTTTCAATTTTTTTTCATATTTAAAAATGACAAAGTAGTTTTTATATAAAACTATGCATACATACTTCAAGTTCGCATAATTTTTTATGTGTTCACGGCATTCGTTTTGTAGAAATGATCGACACACTGAGTCAACATTTTTTAAAACGGCAATAAACCCTCAAGTTTTTTTTTCCTTTTTTTATATTATCCATACTAGACTATAACAATTATTAGTTCCTTCATAATTTTTATAAATTGTATGAAAATAAAATTCTAGATTGTCGGTTGATGACCTCAGTTTAGAAACAAAAATTTATTTTAACAGTTATTAATATGATAATATATTCTATTTTGTATAAGGTATATATTGTATAATCATAAACTAATAACGGCATTTACCAGTTACTAAAAAGAATATTTCTTATTTGTAGCATTTTCATTATTTATATTATTTATGCAATAGTTAATATGGTATCACAACTGTTACAACTAAAGGTAAATCAGTAGTCACAACATTTGATTTGTTTAACTTGCGACCATAAGCGACAAAATTTGTAAAAAAAAACCTTATTTTTTCTAACAAATTATTAAACACACTTTATAATAATTATGTCCACTATTCGAGAAGAACTAATAAATGCAGCAATTAATAGAGCATATACATTAATTGATTATAATATTCACAAAGGTTTTCATGAACAATATGAATTTATGCAACAAACAATTCTTGCTGATAATTCTCTTACAGAAGAAGAAAAAACTGAAGCAATAAGATTAAATATTGAAGATTATGACCGAGATAAAATTAAGTATAATTCAGGAATAAGAAGAATTTGTGAGAATTGTAACCAAAAATGTTTAGCTACGTTATATTGTGAATATTGTGTTCAAAATTATTTAAAAGATAATTTTTCAAATTGGATATCTGGAAATAATAATATTGATAATTTAATAAAAAATCTTCAAATGAAAACAATTATGCCAAGTAAAATTGTTGAATGGATTCCATATAATAATTTACAAAATATTGAATATCTAACGAGAGGTGGTTTCTCTAAAATTTATACAGCAGATTGGATTGGTGGAAGATATGATGAATGGGATTCTAAAGAACGAAAATTAATAAGGTTTGGAACTATTAAAGTAATACTTAAACAATTAGAAAATGTTGAAAGTGCAAGTCAAAGTTGGTTTGAAGAGGTTTGTAACTAAAAGAATTTAAGATATTTTTTTTTTATTTATAAGAAACTAAAATTTAAATCATTTTTTATAGGCTAAATCGCATTTAACAATAAGCAACAAATATGCAGAGATTGTTCAATGTTTTGGTTTAACACAAAATCTATCAAATGGAAATTATATGCTTGTCATGAGAAAAAAGGATGTAAATTTGAGAGAATATTTGCAAAATCATAATCAACTTACATGGAAAGAAAGAATTAAAATTGCTTTTTTAACAATTAATGCACTTTATAATATTCATGAAGAGAATTCAATTCATAGAGATTTGCATTCTGGAAATATATTATATTCACAGTTTAATGATAATTGGTATATTAGTGATTTTGGTTTTTGTGGTCCTGCAAATAAATCATCAACATGTATATATGGAAATCTTCCTTACATAGCTCCTGAAGTTTTTAATGGAAAAGAATGTACTTTTAAATCTGATATCTATAGTATTGCAATGCTTATGTGGGAAATTTCATCTGGACAACCACCATTTATGAATTATGAACATGATTGTAATCTTGCAATTAATATTATTAATGGTATAAGACCAAAAATTATACCAGAAATTCCTTCAGGATATAAAAGTTTAATGGAACAATGTTGGGATGCTGATCCATTAAAAAGACCTGATATTGATACACTTAGAAATAAAATGAATGATATTATGTCATATTATCAAAACAAACCAAATGAATTACCTCAACTAAAATTAAAAATAAATAAAGAAATAATTAATAGAGGTAGTAAACTATTTACAAGTAAAATTCATAAATTTGAAAAACTTCCTGAACCAAAAAATGCAACTGAAGGTAATTAATTATATAATAATTTATATTGGATATATGATATTTTTTCTAGTATTTATAATAATATCATTCTCTCCAATTTATGTAATAACAGAAGAACAAGAAGGTAATATAAATTGACTTTTTTAGCTTTATTTATAAAATCTTTAATAAAAACCATCTCTATTAATAGCATTTCATAGTAAATCATATGATTTTAGTATTCCTTATAATAGTAAGTAATTATTAAAAATTATAATGAATATTTACATCATTTACTAATAATTGTTTCATTTTTAGTTAGTGATTTTGGCAAATCAAGTGATCAGAATAATAATAATAACACATCAAAAATAAGTAGTATTATTAAAGGTAATTTATTATTAATTTTTAAAAAATAAAATGAATATTATATAAGGGTGAATTTATTCCTCACCTCCCAAGTCATAAATTGTCAAAAATGACAAAAATGGAGTTAAGGTATTAAGTAAATTTGTAAAGCAGTCAAAATTACCTATAAACTATAATTTTGAAGGCTATACGAAGCTTATATTAAGTTTTATTTTTTAAAAATTTTTTTCGTCAATATTACATTAATTACATTGTTCCTTTTTGGAAATGATCCGCAAATGATCAGCATGACGTCATTTTTATATATTAAATTCAGGGGGGTGAGAAATAAATTTTTTCATTATATATAATATTTACTAATTAATATTTTAATTTAGATAGTAATAGTAAAAAATTATCCAAAGTATTTAAAAAATTACAGATTAGTTCAAAAAATGGTAAGTAAAATTTAATAAATCAATTATAATTCAATTTATAATAAGATAATATTTTATTAAATCTGATTTGTTTTAAATAATTTTAATAATCGCAGATAATCAAAATGATTATAATAAAAAAACAGTGATAACACAAAATGTCAATAATGAAGGTAAGCAAAACATTTACTAAGCTTCTTTTTAGATAATAAATTAATATTATTTTACCTTTGTTTTTATAGATGATGAAGAAGTATATAATAATCCAAATCTTCACTCAGAGGAACAAGATAAATTTGAAATTCCTGATGGTTCATCTATTCTTTAATATTATTAATAATAAAATAATAAATTTTTTTATTTACTAATTTATTTATTTTCTTTAGATGGATTTTAAACTATTTTACAGATTTTATTGGTAAGAAAATCGGTCAATTAATATTTTATTTTGAACGAATTATTCAACTACAGTATTAGGCTTTTTTATATTAGTAAAATAGCGTGATAATAATACATTTTTTTATACATTTTAATTAATACATAAATGAAAATACTATTATTATAATAGTAATAAATAAATATTAGTATAATGTTTATTATCTTTAAAATAATGTACATCATAATGTACGGGCAATGAACATTCTGAGAACATCAAATGTTGTGATCAGCGTAAAATTGCACAAGCGTGACAACAATGACACATAATGGCATATTGTCCAGCCATTAATTCCTGTGATATCTTCTTTATCTTAAAAAAAAAAAAAAAAAAAACAAGCGTGACAACAATGACACATAATGGCATATTGTCCAGCCATTAATTCCTGTGATATCTTCTTTATCTTAAAAAAAAAAAAAAAAGAATATTCTCAACAGAAATGTCGGCAATCTAATCAATAATATATCCAATATATTCAATAAACCTGATATTCTGACACTATGTAAAAGCGAAAGTCGTAATATTTCTGGGAAAAATAATAACTAAATAATCATATTATTTTGGAGGGCTAAAGTTTAAGTTATTGTATTTTAATCTAGTCATATCAAAAAAGTATAATGCAATAAAAATCTCAATTTTGAAAGAAATTCTCTAACCTAGATCAGGTCCCATATATATACTAGAATATTTTGTGATGATCAATATTTGGCGCAATTTACGAAAATATTAGCTAATTGTGATTTTTGGCCTAACTTTTTTTTAATAGCGGCTTAAAGTAAAATTCACATGAATAAAAAAGAACTGCGCCAAAGAATAACTCATATATATAATGTGTTTCTCGTTAAAACTTTTTTTAAGTATTTAAGATGTCATCCGAAAACAGTTCATCTAATAAAGCGAATAAAAATATATGTAAAAATTGTGGTAATAAATATACAAATAAAAAAAATGTAAAGAGTAAACATTGCGTAATATATATTAATAATAGTAAATGGACCAGTAAGAATGAAATGATTGATAATTTCGTTCAAGAAATGCAATTAAAAATTAATGTAAGGGATAATGATATAGTTGAATTGGTACCATATTATCGATTTGAAAATATTGAAGATGTAAGTAAGGGTAACTCATGTACAATATATTTAGTAACAAATATTGATGGAAATTATACAGTAAGATATCTATCTCGCCATTCAAGAATGAAATTTGATCTAAAAAAATGTTTAAATTATGTCACTCGTGATAATGAATTTCTAATATTTCTAATTGAGGTATTGTTTTAATAAATTCCAATCCACTTATGATTCAAATTTCTGATGGAAATACAAACATGTTTATGGATATTAAAACTTCCCTTTTTGCTATATATTTATTTTTAATAGGTATATTAAATTTTTCATAATTATGTGAATATACATAATATTTTCTAATATATTTAAGCAATTCTTCTTATAAATAGGTGATTCAAGTGCATTATCCAATTGGACATATACAGAAAATCCATCAATTGCAGTATTGATTGTTTTATTTTCCCTTTTAATTGTTATATATCTTATGAACTTGTTAATTGGATTACTCAGCAATGCAATTGAAGAAGATAATAATAGAGTCTCATATTTGATGCCGAAGGCAGAGGTAAATAATAATATTATTAATCATCCCATTTCTATAAATATACTAATATATCTCAACTTTTAGATTTTGGCTGAGATTGAGTTATTTTACCTATTATGGTTTCCTGAAGTAATGTATGTAATTTTACTTTTTTAAAAAAATTTAGTGACATTATTTATTAATTATTTAAATTTATTTTTCAAGATATTATTATGCCGATGTTGATAAGACTCGAATAGAAATTAAAAGATTGATTAAAGAGGGTGAATGGGATACAAAGGAATTCACAGAATTACGGGAAGATTTATTTGAAAAACTTCAAATTAAATATAACACTATTGACAATGAGGTAATATTTGATAAATTAAAATCTTATGATAAGAAATTTGATATGTTAGAAGGGAAATTAGGGAAATTAGAGAAATTATTAGAAGAAAAACATGAAAAATAATTTAAATATTATGTTAGTTTTATAATTTGATCACTGGAATTATAGATAGTATTAAATGGACCAGTTTGTAATCAATTATAAGAATTAAATAAATGTATTTTATGTTTTACATAAACTTCCTAAATTATTCATTGTTATAATAAAATTCAATAATAAATATTGTTGGCTTTCTAAAGTGTTAATAAATTAGTTGCTTCTAAAAATTTGTTAAAATAAAGTATGATTTTTTAAATCGCATCTTAAACAAAAATTGAAACAAAATGCTTTTTTGTGTGAAAATTTTTTTTTTATCAAATGTCAACGAATTTAACTAGATTATATAACTATATATTTTTTAATATTTTTAACTATAACTTGGTGATAAATTTTTTAATTATAATTTTTTTTGCAGTACATTTTTTTTTTAACTTTAGCAATACATATTTTTGTAGACTTTAATTTTTTGTAATATGTAAATGATGATCATGTGACTAGAAATGCTTCGGACGGCGGACGCTCCAACAAAGTTCCTGTTTCCTAGTTTAATTTTTTTATTTTTATTTATTTGCTTATTATGAATCTAAATACCTAGATCTATGGACAAATTTAATACGAGAATGATTAGTGCAATATGGACCACAAATTTGGAAAATTAGCCATTGGGAAACGCCGATTATATGTCCTTCCAAAGTGCTGTTTCAAGAGAAACTACAAAAAAAAGTGTTAGTAAACACTTCCAAAAAAATAAAATTACAAGTTTTGGAAGTTTGGTTACCTCTCAAGCTCATCCAAGAAGCCCAAATTGGTATCCCTACAAAAAAAAAAGAAAAAAAAGAAAACATTAACTTTTTAAATTTAAAAAAAAATAAAAAAAAAAATCTAACTTCATTCGTTTAGTACTTTGAGACATCAGAACCTAAAAAGAATGAATGAAATGTCGATTTAATAAATATTCCGTTAAAGAAAACTAAAAAAATCTGAAGGTTATACCTTTAGAACTAGCCATTAACGTTTCCTTGAATGAGACTCGCTGCGGGAGTTGCGAAGAGCGATCGTTGTCATTACGCAGTAAATCACGTATTTGAATTACGTCATGTTGGCAAGAGTTTAACTTAACAGTTAAGCCGTTCATAGGACCCAGAAATATATATATAGGGGTCAGGTGATGAAAAAAATTTTTTGTACGCATTTTTTCAGGGCCGGAATTATGATAATATCAGTCGGATACTATAATAGGAAATAAAATTCTGACCGGCATTATCAGAAATTATCTAAAAAAGGAAAGATTTTCATGATTTTTTTAGTTCAAAATACGCAAACTCAAACCTGACCCTTTTATATATATTTCTGGGTCCTCCGTTCATAATGGAACGTAAAATAAAACACCAAATCCAAATAATAAAATAAATTAATTATTATGCACAAGATCATATCCTTGACCACTGGATGAATTTTTGATGCTGAATAACAAATAGCTTTTGTTAATTTTTAAGTAAGGAATCGTAATATAAAAAAAAAAATTGTTGAAATTTATGTAATAAGGGCGCCACAGGAGAGCTCTTTTATTCCAATGATTAAAAGAAGCAATAAGCAAACAGCAATATTTTTTTTTTTTTTAAAAAAAAATAGCGTTAATAGCATATTTTGCATACTTCGATGTTCAAATCTTTTATTAACGAATTTTTTGAATTAACCATAGCGCACCTTTGATGTACCTATTATAGAGCCTTTAAAAACTATTTACTATTGTGTATTTTTTGCCTATTATATAACTTTACTTAGTAAGCCAAGACATTTTTTTGTATAGCGTACACTAGCTATATAATACAGTATATGCATTACAATCCATTAAAAAATTGAATATAAAAATAAAAGTACTGTATATTTAATTTAATGACTCAAAAAGGATTAATTTTTTGATTCAAAATATTCCATGTCAACATAGTATTTTCTAAACAGAGTTTCGAATTTCGCTTCCAGTTAGTTCACTATCCTTATCATCATCGCCTTTTTCTACATCATTACCAACTTTATCCGACGTATTATCCAAATCCCTATATTGAAAGCAATACTCAGTCACAAACCCGAATGGTTCATCATCCCACTGCCAAAGAGAAAGCGGTAAACGCCACAAATAGTAAGGAAACCACCGATGTTTCCGAAAAATGTAGTCAGATCAAGGGGTAGCTAATATGACGCCAGCCGGTGCAATGACAACTATATTATTTGTTTCTGTATTTATTTCGGAACTAAGACCACCAACGTGATTTATTCAGTAGCAACGGTGGACTTTACCTCCATTTAATTCTTTGTATCTGGTTTCTTCATATGTGAATATAGTTCGGTCAATTGCATTCCTATGTCACTATGTGCGGTTCCTTGAAAAAATGAGCGACTTTTATCAACGTCGTTGAAATCTCCAATAAAAACTAAAAATATATTGTTACTAAGATCGAAATTGTAGACCCCCGATCTTGTCTTTCGGCCTTGCGAACAATGTGTCATTAAACAGTATGCAATGTCTCAGTTGAGGTTTCTTTCCCATAATAATATTATCAAATAATTAGATAAATTAGCAAGAGACTGAGTTCTACCCACATTATCAGATCGTCATAGTAGTAGGCTCCTAAAATTTGTATAGGAGTAATGTTAACCGAGCAAAAAAGAATAAATGGTAAATATACATTATCATATATCGCCATAGATACCAGTGGGTCACCCGTTAACATTTTGTCGACATTATAATAACGACTACCACAAAGCCGGTAGATAGTAGGAGAAAAGCAGTTAACCTAAGAAATTTGGCGGCAGAGTACCAGTAACGTAATAGAAAAATCTACCAAATAAATTCTTGCGAGTAGTTTGACAGGTTCGTATGAGGCAGATAAAAATTATTTATTTTTGCAACAGTTTCAACGCAAATTTGTACTTCGTATCTACAAAATTAACAAGATAATTGAGTTAGAGCATCATTTTGAACTTTCGAATTTTAACTAAACCAACCTAACCTTAATCCTAACCTTAATCCTAATCCTGGACTGACCCTCCTAAACTAACCCTAGTCCTAATCCTAAACTTATGTTAATCTAACCCAATCCTAATCCTAACCTAACCCTAACAACTATGAATCTAATGCTTCTAATTCAACGTTTACCCTATTTCAATGTCATAAGTCTATTAATTCAATACTTCGTTATTTCTTTGGTGAAACAAAAGTTTGTTTTTTCTTTTTTGATTGTGATCGGCGTAAAAGGCAAAGGTTCATGTGTAACTGATCAAATTTAATTGAATTTTTTCACATGACGTGTGTGATGACTAGAAAAGAATTTATGATGCTTTAGAGTGCATTTTACCACGTTTATACAGTATTTTATTTGGAAAATTTATTAAAAATATTAATACTTTATTATATTTAAATTCACATTTTATTAATTAGGTTGGTAAGGGGTTTGCAGCCATTAATTCAAGAGTCAAGACGTTCATATCATCTGATTCTGGTTTAAAAGCGGATTTATCAATTGGTGCTATTTAATTAAAATTGCTGGTTGAAAATATTTCTGCAATACTAGATCAAAACCATTGTGGATGATAATAGTTGGAGAGGGTATGTGAGTAGAGGAGTTAGATCAACCATTTAGTATATTTTTTGAATATATTGTATTTGTATATTTTTTTAAAAAAAAAATAATAAATGAAAAATTAAAATAATATTATCAAATTAATAAATAATATTATTTATTATCTTTAAAAAATGTATCATTAAAAAAAAAATGTTTATGGTGAAATAAATTATGTTTATTATTATTATGTTGTTAAAAACTATTTAGATTCGTATCCATGTATCAGGTCAATTTTTATCTTTATTTTTTATTAGATTTTTTATAAGATTAATGTATGGTGTTAATTAATGAGATAATGTATATTTTTTTTTATAAAAGTACTTTCAATTTCTCATCTATCCTAAACATAAATTCAAAATAATGTTTTCAAAAATCTAAAAAAAAACTGATATCATCTAGAAACTTCCAAAATAGTATTAGTATTAAATGTTAGTTGTTAAAATGAAAAAATAAATAAATAAATAAAATCTCCACAACCCTGATTAATACTCACTCAAGAGTCAAAAGCCAATTCCTATAAAAAAAATCCAAAAAAAGATGAAATGTTTTTAAAGTAAAAAATCCTCTCCTTAAGTTATCATTAGGGATTAACTAAATTTCCAAGAGATTTACTTGAAAGATTGTTATTCAAGTTTCCTCTCCTCACATGAAATTAACGTTTAAGTACCTCTTTGAAATTGATGTTTCATATTATTGGGGCTTTTCAGATTTACTGTATCTGATGCGTGATGCGTCGTTCATTAAAAATAACCGCCACACCCGCCACACACAAATGATCTGCAATCTCATGACATATATCCAATCAAACTACGTGATTTTTTATTACGTCTCTATCATTAAAAATACAGTACATAAATTTTATTATCAATTGTTATAATAAATTTTAATAAAAAAAATTTTTTTCTTCTAAAATATAATTTTTTAAACAACTTAAAAGGCTCATTTTATTATTTTATAAAAGGTATAATAATGGGTTTTTGGTAAAAAATATTAAAAATAAACAAACTTATCATATCGGCTGATTGGAAAAATCAAGCCAATTAATATTTAAGCTCAGTTGATGGGTTCATTATATATAAACTGATGGGTTATTTATTGTCATTTAGCATATAAAATTATGGGAGGCTTTTCTGATCAGCCGATATGTTGTGAGAAACGAACGGAAATGTTGTGGCTTAATAAACTTATCTAATTTCTAAAAATCCAATAAATCCAAAGTTTTTTCTTTTATTTTCAAATTTATAATGAAAACACAATTTATTTTGACATTAAAAAAATACTGTGTAAGGAAAGTGTTCATTTATTAAAATTAAGAGAATTTTATTTGATGATAAATCTGAATAAATTAAAATTAGTATCAATTATATTTTAAAAATTTTCTTTCGTATTGCAGATCTGAAATCAGAATTTTATTAAAAAAAATCAATATACTGAATCTAAAAATTCTAATCATCATTATAATGAAGGTTTTTTTTTTTGATAAAAATAATATATATATTTATGAAAAAAAAAAAAATCGCCCAAAACAATTTTTTTGCTGATATCTAGTCGTATAAAGTAATTTACAATTACACAATTTACGATAAATTTTTTATGACGATAATATGATTAACATGATAATAATTTGATAGTCATTAAGATTTTTTTTTTTTTTTTTTTTTTGAAAAAGAAAATGACAATAAATATGCTTACTAAAAAAAATTCTATGAAAAAAAATATTTACTACTTTAAAAGGCTAATGCAGTAATTGACATTGGATATTTAATAAAAAATTTTATTACGATGGAAAGCTGGGTTGCTGATCCTAAAGTATAAACTATAAAGTATAAGCATAAGAATAACATAAAATTATGAATATGCTTATGCATACACATCATCACGTGCCGGACAAATAATAAAAGATAACGGAAAGGACTAAACCATATTTAGGCGTCGATAACAATCCATCAATAGTATTATCGCATTTCCACATGAATTTGATAAAGACTATACTACTATTATTATTATATTTTAAATAAGAAAAAACAAAGTAATTACATTATAAATGGCTATTATTGTTGTGCTTACACAATTTGAAATAACATTCAAAGTTAATGATTTTTTACAAATATTATAATAATATTTTGAATATAATGAATATAAAACATGTCTAAGTTGTTAACAATTTTATATTAATGTACTAGGTTTCAAATAGTTCATCAATAGTAATTTAGGTCAAATTTATAATGCCAGCTGGAATTAAAAAAAAAATCCTAAATCTAAACCATTAATTCAATCTTTATATGTTTACGTAATTTTTAAAATTATCTATTAATGTATTCATCAATTTCTTATACTGTATATCAACATCATTTATTAATATCTATAATTTATTGAAATCATTTTCTATTGCTATTTCAATTTCATTAAATTATATCAGATATGATGTTCTATTGAAATTTTATTTATTTTTTGATATTTAATCATGATTTTACATTTTTTTTTATTTTTTTTAAAAAAAAAACCAAAACAAAAAGGCTTTTTTTTATCCAGATAATAATAGACCTGGTAATTTTATTCGGATAAAGAACGCTCTATCAGGATATCTGAAAAAAAAAAAATTATCTGAACATATTTTGATTAGAGATCACTCGCAGTTGGTAATTTAATTATTAGCATAAGAAATTTTGAGATGTTATTTGATTGGTTGAAAATAGAATAGAAAAAAAAAATCGAAACTAAAATAGGTAAAATCGATTTTTAACAAGTTTAAGCCGATCTTAACGCAAAACGACAAGACAAAAGCATCAAATGCCGATCATTTTTTGTTTAACTAATTTTAAACCAGGAAGTAGTTCATCTATAGAAACATTCTTGATAATCGTTTTCAATCTAACTTCTAATATATGAAGTATTTCAAATAAATCGTCATCAAAACTTTTTCCGGAAGATCATTGTCTTTAATAGTCTTATTTATTAGCAATGTATCAGATTTATTTCTGTATAAGTAGATATGAAAACCGATATATAACTTTTTTTAGAATAAAATCTTGTCACAAAAAAAACGCATAAAGAAAAGATTTAAAAGAAATAATCTTTAATGGTATCAAATTCTAATCTATTATTTTAAAAAAAAAAAAATAATTCAAAAAAAAAAAAGTCGAAAAAAAAGATAACGATATAAAATGTCATTTCAATCTTACGGTCAAAACGAAACACTTATTTCGTCCATTCGTAATATCATAAAGGTAGATTTTCATTTATGCTTTAAAAGTGCATTTTTTTTTAATGGTTTCATTAAATTAATATTTTACCAGGATTATCCTTTCGAAAGTATATTTAAAGAATTTCTTCAAAATGGTAGGGAGTTAAAATTCAATTTATTTCACTTTCGTTAAAATTTTAATTGAAATATCCTTTTTTTTTTTAAAAAAAAAAAAAATAGCTGATGATGCTGGAGCTACTCGATATCATGTTATAGTTGACGCTCGTTCACACCCTACAGACTCTCTATTTTATGATGAAATGAAGGCTTGGCAAGGCCCAGCCATTTTGATATTTAATAATGCGAAATTTAAAGAAACTGATTTTGAATCGCTTATGCAGATACGCGTTGGGGGAAAACAAGGTGATGATACAAAAATCGGGAAACATGGAATAGGCTTTAATTCGTGTTATCATTTTACTGATGTTCCAAGTTTTATAAGTGGTGATTCTTTTGCGTTTTTGGATCCTCAAGAGAAATATTTGTCCCAACGTGGTATTAGGGGTCTTATTCCCAATAATGGCATTGATGGGTTCTCTAATAAGGACCAATTAGTTCCCTTTGAAGGCATTGAAGGAATAGATTTTCGATCTACTTTTGAAGGGACTCTCTTTCGATTACCACTCAGGAAAGAATCAAGTGATATCTCTGACAGCATTTTTACTACCGACAAGGTTCTCGAATTACTCACCAATATTAAATCAATTGCATCCTCTCAATTTATATTCCTTCGAAATATTGAAATAATTGAAACGTCTTTCATAAATGAAGATACAGCTCCATTCCAAATAACTTCTCTTTGGAGAGCGATTATAACAGATTTGAATGAAGATACAAAAAATAAAAGAAAGTATGTTAACAATGGTGTAATTAATACTTTTCAGATAAAGATCGAATTAGCTGATAATTCAGAAAATAAACAGGAAGAGCATTGGATTATTACTAATGGTGCTCAACAAAATCCTGAGGATTCAAAACTAAAAGAATATGCGAGAAAATATCGTTTACGCGTATTAGGGGGTATCGCTACAATACTTAAAAGCTCAGAGGATAACTGCTTTAAGGGTAGAATGTATTCTTTTTTCTCATTACCTGATGCAATATATTTGCCAGTTCATCTTAACGGTACTTGGGCTCAGGGCTCAGATCGTGGAAAATTACTAATCGAAAAAGATGATCTGCCGGATTTAGATCATCAGAAACTTGGTTGGAATAGGTATATTTTGCTTGATTTCTTACCGGAACTTTATTGCAAACTACTCGAAGAAATTATCAAATTACATAAAAATAAAGAAATAGATCTAAAAGATCATCCCATCTCAAAGTACTGGCCGTTTCCGTCCGCCGCTGGAAATTATCCAAGATACGTAGTCGAATATGGATTTAGAGTACTCCAACTTATATTAAAAAATGATGATATTTTCCAGTTGATTAATGAAGGCTTACCTGACGAGAATGACCGCGCAGACGTTCTCTTCAAGTTCTTACCACGTGGACAGACTTTAGGATTTCAAGGCTTATTACGAAATAATTTGGATGGATTAGGTAGCTACTTAGAGTTTTAAGTGTACAAATATTATCATCTTTGCAACTAAACAAATGGTTGAATTGCTTATTCTTTTATTTTTTTTTTAAATTTGCGTAGACATAACATCTAATCCGGATCTAAAATTACTCCTCCGCTCATTGCCTATTTGGCCGACACTCTCAGATTCGATACTACCAGCAGATTTGAAACCAATTTCATGCGGGTACATCTTGCCAAGTAATTTTCAACATTATCGAACAAAAAAGGATTCTAAAATTTATTTGAATGCTTCTGGGGATAATGTTCGAAATTGTCTTATCAAACTTGGTGTCCAAAAACGAGACGTTTATTCGTATACTTTCGAAGACGTTGAATTCCCTAGTGAATATGATTATCAATATGTTCGTTTTCTAAACGACATACTTCATTATAGTAATGTTGTTAGAGATTTAAAAGATAAGCCTTGTTTTCCCACATATAATAAGAAATTAAAGAAAATTGATCAACTGTATGATATTCGAAATAGTGTTTACAAGGTCATTTTTGGTGAAAACATGGGCATGTATCTTCATAATGATATAAAATATTCAGATGCATTGTCAAATATTGGATTTAAAAATAAGGTTAATCAAAAAACATTCATTGGTTGCGCTAAATATATCGAAACGTTGGAAAAAAAGGTGAATCCTCCATCCGACATACGTTATCGAGGTTTTGCCTTAATCGACTATTTCTATAAGAATATTGACACTCTTAAATTTGAAGAAGGAATGGAAAGATTTAGATTTGTTCCAATTTCTAAAGATCTGGGTAAACCTTATAATTTGAATTATGTTCGTACTAATACTTTAGATTGTTTCGATCACATAGTTCTTTCCAAATATAAAGAAGTTGCGTGGAGTCAAATGTCTTTGATTGCAGAAGATGTTGTACCGCCTAAACACGTACTTCAAAAGTATCCATCACTTGGTAAACCGGAAGCAACTACTGTAATCGAACATCTTCGTTTCTTGTATACACACATACGGGTTGATGATGAATGGAAAAGCGATTGGGCTGGCGTTTTTAAAAACAACGTCTATGAAGTTTATAAATGGCTCGAAGGTGAATGCAAGACAAATGATATTGACTTGTCAGAACAAATTTATGAACATGAAAGATTATTCCTTAATTTCAATAAAGATCAAGACCCATTTGATGACGACAACTGGGTCTCTGTAAAAGATTTGATTTTGAATAGTGAAAAGGATGAGGATAGATATATTTGTTTGAGTCTTCAAAAATATCCAAACATGCTCAAAAGTGCAGGTGTCAAGGAAGTAAAACGACCAGATTATAAAATAAACGTCCGTCTACACAATCAGTCCATTATTATTGGAAAAGCCGTATTTGATCTTTTATTTGATCATGAATCCTCCTTAAATGACATCATTTTTATTGTAAATGAAGAAGAAATTAAAGCAAGTCGATATATGCTTGTGGCAAGCTCTGGATTTTTTCGACAAGAATTTTATTCGGCAGATCCGGGTCCGATTGAGATCACTATTAATGACATTCGACCTAACTCGATGCGAATCTTATTACGATACCTGTATGGTCAGGACATCGATGTCGCAATTAAAAGTTTAGGTATTGATGATGATAATTCAAAATTTGCACTTTATAAAGATCTAACTAAATTAGCAAATAGTTATGAGTTAGTCCATTTAAAAGAAGTGATGGAATTGAGGCTCTCGCGAACGATTACCAGGTCGAATGTGGAAAATATGAAACAATTTGCTGAAAATTCGGGAGCCAACCAGCTCAAAGAATTCTGTGATCTTTATATCATCGCTAATAATAATTTGTAAAGAAGAAGTAATAATATTATAGGGAATTATAAACGAATTTATACGATATTTATTACGATCATTTTATATATTATTATAGTTTGCTTTTTTATTTTATACAAAAATAAAAGAGAAATTTAGTTTGTCATTTGTCAAAGAATTTACTACTATATGTAAATTATCTTCTTTTAGAATGATTAATATTTTAACTCAACTATATAGTCAACTTTACCTTATAGCGAATTTTGATATTTAACATATAAATAAAAAAAATTTTGTTATAGTGATGTTAATCAAGCGCTGTTACACCAGTTTAACGAACGAAAGTGTGATCATATAAAATGAACTTTTTATAATTAACTTTTATTTTTTTTTCAGTAAAGAAAAGATTTAAGTTTCTAATAAAATTTTTATAAATTTTGAAACAAGTTTAAATTAGAAAAATATTTTATAATTTATTTAAGGGCGGTTCGGTCGGTTCACGTTGTTTTTACTATATACCGAAAAAATTGTATAACGAAATATTCTATACCAAATCCTTCGTTGATACTTGATAGCATTACCAAATTTTCTGAAAAATGAACGAAGGCATAATAAGTCCAGACGCCAAATTCATGTAAGGTGAGTTGACTGTACATATTTAACAACATTACTATATATAAATTTATGAGAAAACAAATTAATAAAATTATTGAAAATTACGCAATATTTAGATTTGAGTTTTATGACATAAGAAAAATCGATTTAGGACATTTTATTAAAATAAAACGATTCTTGTGGTTTAAAAATTTATAAATTCAATTATTTTTCATAATTTTCTTTTTTTGTATATAGAATTTTATTTAAATAGCGATAAAATCTTCGTCAAAAATCAACATATATAATAGAAAATCCTAAAAGCACTAAAAATAATCTATTATTATAATAAAATAAAAATAAAAATAAAAAAACCACTTTGAAAAATTAAAGAGTATTAATATCAAATTCAAATTCTCTGGAATTATGTTCTACATTAATAATAATTAGGTCAAAATATAATAATACAATATAAATATTTATAAAAAAAAACTTACTATTATTATGATTATTAATATCTAATTCAATTTCTTTTGACATATAATCTTTACAATAAAGTTTATTTGATATCATACCATTATCGTCATTAATCTCATCGAATTTTCTTTTAACTTTAAAAGAATAATGGTTATTAATATAATGAATGATATCTCAAACAATAACAAATATATAATTGACTAATTACCAGTAGACGGTGTCTGATAATAATAAAATGGGTCTAATTATTCAAGTAAAAAAAAAAAAAGTTAAACATTGATATAAAAATGTAATGTAATTCTTAATATAATAAATGTTTACCAGTTTCTAAATTAAAAGATTGACTTATTAAACTCGTTAAAGACATTGCAGGTTAAATCATATCACTTAAAGGTCTACTTTTATAAACGGCACCTGGATTATATATTGTTAAGGGTGTATAAATAATTTAAATTGTGTAACATTGAAAAGTGTGATATTCTTGATTCCGATATCATAATTAAGGAAATTTGATTGAAAAACTATTCGATCCATGTGCATTCCAATCAACCAATCCAATTTCAGTTAATGCTTTTTTTGATTTCGAACCAAAAAAATTTTTCTCCCTTTTCTTCTTTCAGTTTTTTTCAAACCGAAAAATTTATTTTTTCTCATTCTTTTCCCATTTACATTTAATTTTTTTTCCCAAACTGAAAATTTTTTAATAAATAATCCTATTGTTTCGGTCTTTTAAGACCAATTTTTTTTTTATATTATTTTTTTTCGATCTTTTTTTTTAGACCGTATTGTTATTTTTATTTTTTTAAACCGATTTCTTTCTTCATCCTTTTCTTTCCCCAATTTTTTTTTTGATTTTTTTTCTTTTTCTTTCAACTTTTTTATTATTATTAAATAAAGAAATAAAATATTATATTAAATATATTTACAAAATTATTATATTTTTTTTAAAAAATCAATCTAAAGCAGTTCAATTTGCGATCGAAAATAAAAAAATTTTTATTGGATAATTTTTTTTACAACAAAATCCGACCGAAAAATGCAACCGACTGGAAATGAACAGGGCTATTTTAGATTCAATTTTAAAAAAACTGGACAGAACTCAAAAACTCCTAATTATACAGTAAATTCCAACCCAATTTATACCGGGTTTTATGAGTTTCAATTTTCTTGTTACTTTTTTTGACAGTAGAATAAGTTTCGGAAAAAGACTGATATACTTGTTATGCTTCTATACTTACTTACAGCTTATTTGACTTAGCGTCAGACTCGTAATAATGCTTACGCCTTAAACGTTTAATCTTTTATGTTTTTTACCGTTATAATTATAATAATTTGAAATCAAACTAAATTTTTATGATGTCTGTCTTTCTAAATATAAATAGCGAACATACAAATTTAAAATTTGAATGAAGAGTTTCACATACTACACTTGCAACGGAACCCAAAAGTCGTCTCAAGAATTGATGATTTTCTTAGTACTACCGGGAGATTTTACAGTACTGTAACCCTATTTATAATTTTTTTTAAATAATACTGGATGCTGCGGATTTTGGTAAGTAGTCATATGATTTTTCTGTCTCCCTTTTTTATTACTGATATCGGTCAGGGACCCGTGAACGATACCGAAATAACCTAGGTGATAAATCAGCAGGTACGCTAAAATAGAATAAAATAATTCATGTTGATGTGCTGCGGAAAATAGTGATGATCATCATGTGATAAGGATCTGTATAATAAGGAACCAATAAGAAATTTAAACGTTGCATAAATACTTGTGCGACGAAACGAAGTTGTCGCCCAAACCCTTTTTTTCTTCTTTCCTTTTTGCTTAACGTAATGGCATTTTCAAAGATTTTACCAGAATTATTAGGTGAAATTTTACAATATTTTCGTCAAGATTATAGAATACTATATTCATGTATATTGGTTAATAGATTATGGTGTAATTCAGCAATTCCATTATTATGGGAAAATCCATTTTCATTTATGCGTCCTAAAAATCTTCACTTTATTGAAATTTATTTATATGATTTAAATGATGATGAGAAAACAAAATTAATTGAATATGGAATGGATAAAAATTTATTTCCTTCAAATACATTATTTAAATATTCTAGTTTTATTAAACATTTGAATATACATAAAATTAGTAAATCTATTGAAGATTGGGATAGAACTTTAGCAACTAAAAATTTTCGAAAGTCAAACTTTACAAAATTAATTTGTAGATCATTAATACAACTATTCATTGAAAATGTAGTAAATTTACATAGTTTGCATGTTTCATATGGTAGTTTTGATGATATTTTTGAATTGATTTTACAAAATTCAAATTTCATTGGTAATATAAAAAATTTTAAATTAGGTCATTTGGAAATGTCTGTATCTACAATAAAATTGTTAACATTTTTAAGTTCTAATTGCAACTCAATTTCATCTCTATCATATCAATGTTATAATAACTACGAACATCAACAAATGATGGGTTTATCACAAATTATTAAATCTCAAAAGAATCTTAGAAAAATATTATTTAGATCTCCTTTGAACCAATCATTATTATCATTAAAAAATTCTAATTGTTCAAATACATTAAACACAATCATATTTTATGATATTGAATTTAAAAATATAATTATTTTAAATGAAGTATTTAATCAATTAAATGTTTTAGAATCAATTCATATTATTTATTGTAAATATCTAGATACCAAATTTGTTCAACAAATTATTAATATTAATAAACCATTTAAATTGAAATCTTTATTTTTGCATGAAGTATCACAATTTGAACCATATGATCTGCTATTACAACATTTTGGTTGTTATTTAGAAAATTTTGAAAGTAATGTAGATAATGATCCACAATTATTACAATTATTTAAATCAGTTACAAAATATTGTAGAAAAATTAAATCTTTATACTTACACCTATTGTGGGATTATCGGAATATTAACTTAGTATTCAATTTAATTGAAAATATTAAACAAAGTCTTAATTATCTTTCAATTGATCTCTGTTTTGTCTCTTATATGATAAATGATTTTCATTCAATTATATTACAAAATTTAGGACAAATTCTTCCTTTTAAATTAGAATATTTGAATTTGTGTCTTGCAATTAATGAAATTGATTTAGAAATATTCTTAAAAAATTCTCAAAATACTTTTATTAAAGAATTGTCAATTAAAAATGAAAGTCATGATCTTTATGTAACTATTTATCCTTGTATAAAGGAATATATTATGAAAAAGAAAAAAGTTAAATATTTGACTATTTCTGATAAATTCAATGTAATTTGGTTTTCTTCGAAAGATATAGAGGAATTTAGATTATATGATATTCAAATTTTAAAATATAGTTATATGATAATTTTTGATTTATTATATAAAGGAGATTTATCTATGCTTCTATGGTAATAATGTGAAATAATCTAAATTGTATAGTTACAATTAATACTTTGAATTGTAATAATGTATATTAGAGATATTTAAAGAATAACTTTTTATGACTTTAAAAATTTAAAAGATAAATTATGTATTTGAATTATGGTTGGTATTAGGAAATAAAAAAATTAGGTTAGCTCTCAATTGTTCAACTTGGAGGTTTTTAGTTAAGATGAACATTATTTATTTATGTTTTAAAAATTTTAAAAATAATAATTTAAAGTACAATAAAAATTTTTATTTATATTATTTAAAATATTAAAATTTGGTTTTTATATAGCCTAAGTCATGTTAAAATTGAACATACATATGATATTGCATTTGTTATTATCTGTATAATTCCATTATTTTAACAAATTCTTTATCAATTTGGTTAAAATTAAATATTAACTGAAAAATAATATAAAAAATCGTCAAATAGTCCTGACAATATTTTTAAATCCTTTATAATAAAAGTGTATATAGATAAGTATGATATAACCTTCATTGTATGTATGGTACAGTGCTGGTGATCGTACTTCAACCGTCAAACCACATTTTCAAATTTCAAATTTTAAGAGATGATTAAGTTTTACAAACTATTATCAATCTTTTTTTTTTATTGGCTCCAAGTTATGGTTAGACGCTTCAAGGTAGTTGCAAATGTTTTTTTGCTTATGTTCACTCTGTCTGGGCTTTTCGACTACTTAAAGATTCTATGTTACAAATACTTTACAAATTATGGTAAAAAAAGGTGACTAAATCGCTTCCTACGCCACAACGCGCAAGAACCATTAACGTAATTTTTAAGAGGGTAATTTCCATCAGTGTCTTTGTACTAATATTATATCATAAAAGTTCGAAGGACATTTTTCTTTTATTCTTTTTTTCTAATATTTTATTATATTTTTTAACAATTAAATGTATTAATTACTGCTAAATGATTTTAAATCCAGTTCTATAAAGTCAATATCTAAAATTTGACAATATTTAATAGTAACGTTCTTGTTTGATTTATTTTAACTCGAAGATAATATCGAGGAAATTTTCTTAAATAAAAATTTTGGACATTCGGGTCACTTGTATTGATTAGATACGACTTGAATGTGCCAGTTTATACCAACTAGTGAATAACTTTGATATATCAAATATTTCTTGATCTGTACAAATCGACCAATAAAGTTGCGCCACGAAGTTCGATACATAATGAGATTTATTTATTACGAAAGATTTTTTTTAAATAATCCCTATAAGAAATATGTATATGGAAAGGATACGTTTTGTATATATTTTATGTACAGTACGTTTCTATAGATTCCATATACAAATTCCGTATATTTAATAAACAATTTATTTTTGAACATTTTTTAAAAAAAACGGAAAAAATTAATCATACGGAATGTATACGGAATTTTTAAACTTAATATTTTTAGAAGATAATTTTACAAAAATCCCGTATCATAACATGAGATCATGTGATTGTTTATTGACTTGTTATGATACGTTTTTTGTTTTTTTATATAAACCCTTTTTGATCTGTTATTTTTTCTAAAATTTTCTTCTTTCTTCGTCACCCCCCTTTTAAAAAAAAAAAATTTTTTTTTTCGTACCTCACTTTAAAAAAAATTTTTTTTCGTCACTCTCCTTTAAAAAAAAATTTTTTTTCGTCACTCCTTAAAAAAAATTTTTTTGATTTTATTCTTTTATTCCCACTCTTCTTTTTTTAATAAAAATTTTCTTCGTTCTATTTCTATTTCCTCTATAAAAAATTTTTTATTTTTCTAACTTTGACGTCCTCCCTTTAAAAAAAAATTTTTTTAACTTTTCTAACTTCATTACCCCTCTTTTTAAAAAAATATTTTTTTTTTATTTATTCTTTATTCCTCTTTCTTTTTTATTTATATTTATCCCTTTTTTTATTTCATAGGCCAGCAGATTTTTTTTTGTGAGAAGATTCAGTTTTCTTTTTTCTTTTTTGTAGATCAGTTTGGGAGTCCTTTCCTTTTTGTAGGATGGTAAAAATATAAATATACATATTTTATCAAATAATATCATATAATATAAAAATTTGATTAAAAAAAATAATAATCACATAATTTGGTTATAACACATAAATAATTTTGCAGAAACTTTTAAAATCGGAATATTATTGGGGCTTTTCAGATTTATCTTATGCGACGTTCATTAAAAATAACCGCAACACAAAGTTACACACACAAATGATCTGCAATCACATGACATATATCCAGTCAAACTAAGTGATTTTTTATTACCACTTCTGCATAAATTACTTTTCGTCTCTCGTAAATTTTATTATCAATTGCTATAATAAATTTTAATAAAAAAAAATTTTTTCTTCTAAAATATAATTTTTTTAAACAACTAAATATACGACACACGTCTTAAAAGGCTCATTTTATTATTTTAGGATAAGTTAAAGAATAACTTTCCTAATGGTAACTTCACAGTGATTCTTTATATGTGTTTCTTTATTTTGTGATTTTTTTTGATTCAAAAAAAAGTTGTGATTTCAAACAGTTAAAAGGTATAATAATGGTTTTTGGTAAAAAAAATATTAAAAATAAGCAATTTTATTGTGAGAAACGAACGGAAATGTTGTTGGCTTTATAATAAACTTATCAAATTTCTAAAAACTCAATAAATCCAAAGTTTTTTCTTTTATTTTCAAATTTATAATGAAAACACAATTGATTTTGACATTAAAAAAATACTGTGTAAGGAAAGTGTTCATTTATTAAAATCAAGAGAATTTTATTTGATGATAAATCTGAATAAATTAAAATTAGTGTCAATTATATTTTTAGAATTTTCTTTCGCTCGTATTGCAGATCTGGAATCAGAATTTTATTAAAAAAAAATCAATATACTGAATCTAATATACTGAATCTGTTTTTTTATAAAATCAATATACATATTTTTGAAAGAAAAAAAAAACACCAAAACAATTTTTTTGCTGATATATAATCGTATAAAATAATTTACAATTTATAAATTCTACTGAATGATACACAATTTACGACAAATTTTTTATGACGATAATATGATTAACATGAATTTGTCGATTATTATTATTTTTCTTAAAATGTATCAAAGATTTTTTTTTTTGAAAAAGAAAATGCCAATAACGTGTATCGGATTTTTTTTCTTCTCGATATATTGACCTACTATCCATGGAAAGCTGGGTTTTGCTGACCCTAAAGAATAAAGCATAAGCATAAGCATAACATAAAGCATAACATAAGATTATGTATAGAGTAAACGGAAAACATTGCATATCATCACGTGCCGGACGAACAAACTGAATTCCTTGGTTAGTATGATCATCATGTAAAATATAAAATTTCTCCAAAAAAGTTAACATTTACACAAGATTTTTGGCATTATAATGAATGAATACAAAAATAGAAAGGAACATATAATTACATTAATAGATAATTTTAAAATTACGCTACTATAAACTTTGATTTGGGATTTTTAATTCCAGCTGGCATTATAAATTTGCTATCGATGAACAACTATTCGGAATCTAGTACAAAATTTAATTAAAAGTCCAAAGTTTTTAACAACTTAGATAACTTAGATATGTTCTTATATTCATAATATTCAAATAAAATTTGTAAAAAATCATTAATTTTGTAAGCACACAATAGTCTTTATCGTTTGATGGAATGAATGAAACATAAATTTAAAGAAAATATATATCTAACTTAATAAACTAATAAATTCTCAATGATATTTAATACATATGAAAATCATGTGAAAATGCAATAATAATATTTTCAACCATTAATAGACTTTATCAACCTTATCCTTTTGGGAGCTATGGTATTAATTTCTTTATTGGGAAAATTTTGAGATGTTGGTTGAAAAGAATCAATTTATAACGAAAAATAGAGATTCGAAAATAAAATAGTAATACAAGTTTTTTACATGTAAGCCGATCTTGACGCAAAACGGCAAAAGCATCAATCTTCCTAAAAATGCTGATCATTTTTGTTTTAGTTTTTAAATCAGTAGTTCATCTAGTTCATCTAGTTCATCTATAGAAACAATCTTGAAAATCGTTTTCAATCTCTTTACTAATGTTTCAGTTCTAACTTCTAATATATGAAGAATTTCAAATAAACCATCTTCAAAACTTTTTCCGGAAGATCATTGTCTTTAATAGTCTCATTAACAAGCTTATTTTAGCAATGTATCAGCATATATTTGATTTTTTTACTGTATAAAGTAGATATGAAAACGATATACAGCTTTTTTTAGAATAAAATTTTGTCACAAAAATCGTACAAAGAACAAATTTAAACATTAAATAAGTTTTTTAATGGTATCAAATGGTATCAAATTCCAAATTCCCAATCTATCAATTTTTTTTTTTTTTTTTTTAATTTAAAACAACAAGGCGAAAAAAAAAAGATAAACGATACATCATGTCATTTCAATCTTACGGTCAAAATGAGACACTTATTTCGTCCATACGTAATATCATAAAAGTAGGTTTTCATCTATGATTTAAAATATATATTATAATTCTTTTTAATAACATTATTAAACCCCATATTTTACCAGGATTATCCTTTCGAGAGTATATTTAAAGAATTTCTTCAAAATGGTAAGGAGTTAAAAAAAATTAATTTTATTTCGCTTTTGTAACTTTTGTAAAAAAAAATATGTTACTTATTTTACCTAAAAAAAAAAAAAAAATAGCCGATGACGCTGGAGCTACTCGATATCACGTGATAGTTGACGCCCGTTCACATCCTACAGATTCTCTATTTTATAATGAAATGAAGGCTTGGCAAGGCCCAGCCATTTTGATATTTAATAATGCGAAATTTAAAGAAACTGATTTTGAATCACTTATGCAAATACGCGTTGGAGGAAAGCAAGGCGATGATACAAAAATTGGGAAGCATGGATTGGGCTTTAATTCGTGCTATCATTTTACTGATGTTCCAAGTTTTATAAGTGGT